AAATGAATCAATAATTGTTTATTTTTTTACTTAAACTTTGTTTTTTTGATAAACATGGTTATCAACAATGGTAATAGACAGAATTTCTCAACATTGACGTGGTTAAATGTGAATAGCATGGTTGATAAGAATATGAAACAAAAATAAAAAATGACAAATTATATATGTACACAAACAAACACACATATATGAATATATACATATATGCATACAGAAACCTGTAAATAAGTATAAGGGGAAAAAACTATATACATTATGTCAGAAGTACATAATAGAAAAGTGTCTACTAAAATTATTGTCAAACATCAAACAGAAAGAAAAGATAGTTTGTTGTCACCTGTCCGCTTGTTAAGTGGTGACGTGTTTGTGACGCATGTATACTGTTTCCGGGTCCAAGCCGCCATTCATTTTAGTGGAGAAATCATTCGTTTAAGATCACATTTTATTCCTATCACACATTAAAGTTAATTTTACATAAAGTCATCGTGTACACAACAAACTCTGGGCTTGCTGCATAAGAAATACCAAAAAAATTAACAATTTATAAAAAAATGTATCACTTTCTGGCCATCTTATATTAGTCATGGACAGATATATTAGTCATGGACAGATATATTGCGATCGTGATTTTCGAAAGTATTAAATTGCTTTGTAAGCGTTTATTATTACCATTTCATGGGTCTCCCCATTCAGCTGAAAAGAGCACTTGGACCCGGAAGCCGCTTCGCGTGACGTCACACTTTAACAAGCGGATAACAGCTGCGTCCCAAATGGCACACTATACACTATGCACTCTTGCACTATGTACTTATGCACTTACACACTCAACAGGATAGTATATGTATGTATGTAGTGTCGTCCCAAATGGCACACTAATGTTTTTTTACTAAGCGGAAATTCAAACCGTTTCCCTGATGATGTTTGACGGTTGCCAAATCAGTGAAATAAACGACCGAATTATCAGATAATACCTGCCGTGGGTATTGCCGCATTCACCATCGGAAGGCGCTAAAATCACTCTCGTAGGAGAATTTTGCTTTCACCATCCAAAATAAATAAAGTTATTCAACATGTGCGTCTGACAGCTCCGCCCCTTCCGCTACGTAAGCAAACCTGCGGTCGTTGAGTGCGTGAAGTGTCCATCATTACACACTTCATTTTAGCGGCTGAATGAGTGCATCATCCGGGTAATTAAAGTGCACTTATTATTTTTAGAGTTTTCAGTGTGAACGCACTACTTAAACTATTTATACTACAAAATGGCGTAGAATAGTGCATAAGTATGCGATTTGGGACGCAGCTGTTTTACTCGGTCACAACAAGATGGCGCTAAAACCTATATTTTACAGTCTATGGCTAAAACCAGTAAAAAACGCAAAGCTGTGATAAGTAAAACAAGCATACTTACAAACGTATTATTCATTCACAAGAAGACGATGCCAAACAGTCCAAATCCCCAACGTGACAGACAAACAGATACAAGCAAGTCAAATTGAACATATTCACTGACGGCCAAGGTGAGAATCAAAGTTCCCGGATGATTCTGACCAATCACAAACGAGTAGACAGCCTATAAACCACGCCCAAAACCCCAAACAGACGTAATCTGTTTAATTCAACTTTTTACATGAACCTCATTTCATTTATTGGAAAGCTTTTTTATACACAAATGCAAATATACTCAATGTAAGCCAATGTTTTTACTTTTTTAAACAAGAATTGGAACTGTATTTAAAAACCATCACAGACTCTCACAACAAGAAAGCAATTAAAACTTATGAAATGTGTGCTTTATTTAATATTCTGCATTCATTTGCTTTATTTTTATCGTGTGCCCTCATTTATTTCGTTTCTTTTGCTTTACCTTTAATATAAATATTTTAAAATTGTTACATTACTTGTTGCAAAAAAAGTAATATTTATATTGCTTGTACTATACTTCTATCAGTTTTGTATTACCATTTTTTGTAATAGCCTGTTGGTTTTTTAATAAAAAATAAATACAGCTTTTTTAATTGAAAACAAACAGGAATTTTCATTTTCCGACTTTAATTTTAGATTAAAAATGTTTTCTTAACACGCGCAGATGAACCGTTTACCACAGAACTACCAATGTGAGCTAACAAAACCAACATGGTTACTTTTGATTTGATGTGTACCTCAAAGATTATACTCATGAAAAGCATATTAGGGCTCTTTACTTTTTACAATGACTGGTAAAATGAACAAAAGTTTCTCATTTGCAGAGTGATGGGAGAGCGATATCGCAGAGAGATGTTGGCTCATGGAGGAAGTAAAGAGCCTATGCTGATGGTCCAAGGTAAAATAAAATAATTACAAGACTTTTGGATATAATCTTAAGAATAAATGTTCACAGATGCTCATATTTTCTCCTCAGGAATGCTACAGAAGACTCCTACCATTGAAGACTTTGTTGACGCGCTGGTGCTGGATCTCGATGTTAACGTGAAGCCCCCAGTTTAGCAGATCATCATGACTCAGACACTGAATATCTCATTATTTTCCAACGTCTTGCTGCCTTTAAAGCCTTATTAAAATGTGAAGAGATGACATGAATATCTGGTGTCGCTTCAGTCTGTTGTGCCATATTTCAAAATGAACTAGGTGTAGAAGTGAACTTCAGGTTTATTAAGATATTTTAAGGAATCGTTATCCCGAAGGTGGCTCAGTAGTTAGCACTGTCGCCTCACAGCAAGAAGGTCACTGATTCGAGCCTCAGCTGGACCAGTTGGCATTTCTGTGTGGAATTTGCATGTTCTCCTTGTGTTGGCGTGGGTTTCCTCCTGGTGCTACGGTTTCCCCAACAGCCCAAACGCATGCACTATAGGCGAATTGGATTAATTAAATTGACCATAGTGGGTGAATGTGAGTGTAAATGAACCAATCACTGGGCAGCGCAAGACATATGCTGGATAAGTTGGCAGTTCATTCCGCTGTGGCGACCCCTGATGAATAAGGGACTAAGCTGAATATCACGGAGATGCTTGCTCATGGAGGAAGAGCCTATGCTGATGGTCCAAGATAGGACATTAACATTGTCCATTAATTAAAATAAAGGAAGTTTATTATTAACTCAAGCCATGGGGTTCAGAAAAACGTACAAAATGACAAAAAAATTAATTCAATTCATTTTGACCAATTTCACAACAAACAACTTTTACTATAGTTGCATATTAGGTAAATCTTAATTGAATGAAGTTAGTTATTTCTACCGAAAAAAAATAAAGCATGTTAATGACTAAATGCTGCAGGGCTCAGAAAAATTCACAAATAATCAAACAGAATTTCTTTTTCCTTTTTAATTTCTCAGCAAACAACTTGATTTGTATAGTTGTGTATGAAGTAATTTGCACTCACCGGCAACTTTGTACTAATAAAATACCGGGTTGGACCCCTTTTTCCTTCAGAACAGCCTTAATCCTTCTGATTCCTTCATGGCATCTATTCAACACGGTACTGGAAAATTCCTCTGAGATTTTGCTCCATATTGACATGATTGCATCACACAGGTGCTGCAAATTTGTTGGCTGCACATCCATGATCTCCCGCTCCACTATATACCAAAGGTGCTCTATTGGATTATGATCTGCTGACTGTGGAGGCCATTTGAATGCAGTGAACTCATTGTCATGTTCAAGAAACCAGTCTGAGATGATTCACGCTTTGACATGGAGCGGTTTTCTGCTGGAAGTAGCCATCAGAAGATGGGTACACTGTTGTCATAAAAGGATGGACATGGTCAGCAACAATACTCAGGTAGGCTGTGGCGTTGACAATGCTCAGTTGGTACTAACGGGCCCAAAGTGTGCCAAAGAAAATATCCCCCACACCATTACACCACCAGCCTGAACCGCTTAGACAAGGCAGGATGGATCCATGCTTTCACGTTGTTGATGCCAAATTCTGACTCTACCATCCAAATGTCGCAGCAGAAATGGAGACTCATCAGACCAGGCAACATTTTTCCAATCTTCTATTGTCTAGTTTTGGTGAGCCTGTGCCAATTGTAGCCTCAGTTTTCTATTCTTAGCTGACATGAGTGGCACCAACTACATGCCACGCTCAAAGTCATTTAAATCAGCTTTCTTCCCCATTCTGATGCTGTTTGAATTGCAGCAGACCGTCCTGACCATGTCTTCATGCCTAAATGCATTCACTTGCTGCCATGTGTTTGGCTGACTAGGAATTTGAGTTAACGAGCTGTTGGACAGGTGTACCTAATAAAGTGGCCGGGGAGTGTATATCTTGATTCATGTTAGTTTAGTTATTTTAAGATTCACTGAAAGCCACGAGGCTTGAGAAAAAAAATGACAATGTCTTATTTTTCTCCAATTTCTCAGCAAACTTGATTTCTACAGTTGCATAATAAATTTGTCTTGATTGAAGTCAGTTATTTGTATTGTGGGAAGAAACAAGTTTTCTTTGCAGTACATTTACTGCCATGACTTTTTGCTTTGAAGGGGAATTAAGAAACTGCATTTGTAATATGTTTGCATTTATTAAAATACCAGTTTATTTAATCTTCGTTACAAATTTTAAAGAGCTCTCATGATCAATATCTTGCAGATTATGATCTGATGTAAAACATGAGTGTTTTTTTTCATGAAGCTAGTTGATCAAACCTGAATCATAAACATCACTGAATTATGACTAAATTAATCTAAATACTGTAAATCAGCATTCAATATAGCTGCTTTAAGTTTAAAATAAATGTATTGTTTGCAAAAGGTGTTTAAACTGAAGGACACTACTCTGTTTTACAATTTCTTCTGAATGACCATTATTTTGGGCTACTATGAACTAAATTATAAACTGCTACTTATACAGCAATAAAACTGATCAGTTTTTTTCCTCAATGCTTACTCATCCAGGTAATTTTCTAGAAAATACAGCAATCAAAATGAATATTTAATAAAGATATTCATATGCTCTCAATGAGAGGTGAATTTCCACTTTGACAAAGAAACACAAACACAGGCTTAATTTTATGGTTTTTATTCATCTATACAAAAGACCATAACTCAAGCCAAGGAACCTGAAAGAGAGATGAACAAACAGTCAGCTAACGAGACTACATTAAAAACGCATCAATTATGAACCATGAGTTGACAATCACCATGTTTATGCCTCCTTTTCTGGAGCTGCCTCGTCTGTGCCCTTGGTGTTTCTGGTGTAGATCACCTGAGCTCTGTGTTTGGACACCAGCTTGATCAGGCCTGGCCACACAAAACAAGAGCAGAAATCATAATGAACAAACTTACTCGATAAGTGCATTTGGCCACTCAACTTCAGTTCATTAAAAGTGATAGTTCAGCCCAAATGTCAAAGTAGGTAATTATTAATAATTGTCCCAAACCAGTTTTAGTATCTTCTGAGGAACACAAAATAGGATATACTGAAGATGTTGGGGGGCCATTGACTTTAATAGTACTTTGTTTTAACTATGGATGTCAATGAACGACTTATGTCAAAAATCAGACAATCAAAGCATTTAGAACCACTTGAGTGTAAATAAATGAGGAAATGTTTGTTTTTAGATGAACTGTCCATTTAACATGTTTGCATACCTTCCAATACTTATGTTGATGTAGGAACATAACTACTGCTTAAAGGCTGAAGCTTTTATATCTTGAAGTGAAAGCTTGTTATAAATTTTACAAACAGTAATTCATAATTAGGGCTGCACAATATGTAGTTTCAGCATCGATATCGCAACGTGAAGATTTTCAGAGTTTCTGCGCTGAGTTTACTTTCGAGTATCATTTCATTTTATGTTTGAACAACTAAATGAATGCTTAAGTTTATTTAACTGGTTGTATTTTAATTACATTACCATGTCGATGCTGAAAAAAAAAAAACTTATAAAATTTTAAATAGTCATAGAAACTAATGTGCCCAATATTTACAAATTATTAAACACATCTTCAGTCTTACCAATATAAATATTATAATGTGCCATTAAGTATAACAAAAAAGTTAGACAAATAAAGAAATTTAAAAAAACGAATGTAAATTTACAAATTAATATCATTTGAGGGGAAAAACGAACAATTATAAAAGTACACTGTAAACCGTTATCAGGGCATATGCAAGAATCCTAAAGTTCATTTCAATACCATTTAAAAGACCTTTTTAGAATATAAGACCTCATCGACACTTCAGCATCAAACCATTGACTTAATAAACATTTGTAGTTAAATAAAGCAATGGAGCACAACCATGCAACAGAACTCGAATAAGCTCCGAAGAAACAAGCTTGAAACAGTCAATTACGTGGTTGTTTACAGCGACAGGCTTCAGCCACTGTTCAAACTCGTCTTTCTCCAACCAGGAGAACGCAAACTTATGTTTTCCCATTTTGCCGTCTGTTTTACTATGTGTGGAGAGCGTCACATCACCTTCCCACGTTTATCACAAATTACGCGACATCACCTGGACGAAAGAGCTTGGCCGGACCTGCCCCGGTCCAAACCAATCATGTGGATCAAGCGCGCCATTGTTAATATTAGGAGGAAAATAAAGATATTTATGCTCATTTGGAGTAAAACATTTTGGACAACGCTAGAACAAAAATTAAGACCTTGAAAAACACGATTAAGATGTTAATACATTTTAAAGGCCTTAATTTTCTCACAATTGATTTATCAACTTTTAATACTTTAAGACCCCGCGGACACCCTGGTTATACATACATTCCTACACTATATATATATATATATATATATATATATATATATATACATATATACACATATATATATATATACATATATACATATATATATATATATATATATATATATATATACACACACACACACACACACACACACTTTTTTTATGCAAATTATTATTAACATGCAATTAATTCAAATATTGAAATGAGGATTTCAAATGCTAAAAGTTTGAGGTTGAACAATGAAAAAAAAAAAAACATCGGTAATGAGGAAAAAAATCCACTAAATAATAATAAAAAATAATTAATTATTTTTAATTAAATTATTTTTAATAATAATAATTAAAAAAAAAACATTAATCTACAACAGCAATATCAAGGCACGGCAAATTCAGAGATTTTAGAATAGTTTTATACATTTGTAATTAAATATTATTTATAATGTGATTATGTAATAAAAAAAATTTTTTCAACAAATTGTACACCTAATACACTTTAAAGGGGATAGTTGATGAAAATGAAAATATTCTCACCCTTGACTCTTTCCAAACCAGTTTAAAAAAATTTGTTTGAAAAACGTTGGAAACTAAACCATTCACACAACTAAGTGGGAAAAACAAATAATTTGCAAGTCTATAAATTTACAAGTTTTCCAACATTCTTAAAAACATCTTCTTGTGCGTTTAACACACAAAAAAAAAAAAAAAAAAAAAACAAGACCTCAAACATATTTGGAAATAGAGGAGGAATAAATGACAATTTTCATTTTGGGGTGAACTATCCCTTTAATATCAGATCTACAAGTCTTAAATTGACCATACGCAAACCCAATTTAAATTAGAATTATAAATAGTGTATTCAATCTACTTAAAGAATCAAATAAAAAAACAAAAATCATAATGAGCTTGAATGACTTAGCAGTAAAAAACTGAACCACACTAAACTAAACTGAACTCAGCTCTGAAAACTGGACTGACACAGTTTACATTTACTAAATGTCTATGTTAAGCTGCTTTAATAGATTCTACATTGCAGAAGCGCTACAGAAGTAAAGATCAATTGAAAAAATTGCATTGTGTGTATGCAGGTTGACTGGCAAACAAAATCTGCCATCATTCCGTCATGATCGATTCCTAAAATTAAACCGCATTTCTCTAATCATCACCTTTTCCCAGCAGCTCCTGCAGGGCAGCTCTGGCCAGGGAGCCTCTGATCTTCAGCCTCTCAGAAACCACAGCCGGGGTGATCAGCTTGTAGTTCGGCACTTCTTTGTACAGTTTGTCATAAGTGGCTTTGTCGAAGAGGACCAGGTTGTTCAGCTTGTCCCTCACCTTTCCTTTGGACCACTTCTACTCAAGAGAAATACAGGGAATTCAGAGTTACAGTCCATTCACAAATCTGACACCAAGTCTGCATTAACCCTTTTTTTAAATGTGGCTGTCAATTGAGGCATTTATAAGGTTTTTATCCAGCCTAACATAAAGAAACCATTCGAAACACATTTAAGTGTCACCTTCGCTATACATCTGTGTTTATAGATTTCAAATCACAATTAGGGCTGCACAGTAGATCGTTTCAGCATCAATATCGCAATGTGTGTAGTAATCGCATCACAGGATGTCTAGAGATTTCTATTTAATTTAAACCATTTGGACACAAGACATTAGAAAGTTTTCTACTCTACCAATTAGATTTATATATTTATTCAATAAAGACACTTTAATTTGATTGAAATTATATCTCAATATTGTAAGACCATCAAAAACTATATTGTTGTTCGTTTAATTTTTAACTTTGTTCTATCAGTTTCATACTTGCTTTTAATTATATTATTGTGTGTATTTTTGTGTTATTTTGTATATTTTATGCAGATGCGCTTCAACAAAATCAGTGTATAATTATTTTTTTCCCCAAATAGTCATCTTGTGTAATTATATTCTTAATCGCAATACATCTCCATCTATCTATCTATCTATCATGGGATGATAACCAGTTTCCAGATTTACAGCAGTTAAAGTCAAGGTTTTAATACCACTAAAATGTTTTGTTATACTGGTCCTAAGATAGATGTAAGGCTTTTTTTGTTTATTTTTTATGTGTTAAGAAACTAAAAGAAAGCAAAAGTCAATGATTTATTTAAACTGTCAAGCCTGACATGTTTACCGCTCCAAAATATTTAAAACGTTTCTTAAGTGCAAACAAAACTTATTACAAAGCAGTAATCACAATACTGTAATACCATGAAACTGGTATTTTTATGCAAGATTATCATACTGTCAGAAATTTATATAGATATATATATAGCAGAAAACAATATATCACAATGTAATTTTTCTCCCAATATCACGCAACCCTTATCACAATATTTTTAGAGATCATTTTTCTACTGTATCACATACAGGTAAAGTTGGTTTTATTTTCGCACATTCGTTCATTTAGCAGTCTTTACATTGTTTACCATGTTACTTTGAATATTCGATCGGAATTAGCATGCAAGTATGACTTCAAAACCATATTAACACTATCTAATTGCCTTTGAACAGTGTTGTACTTCGATAGTCATTTGCTGCTAATATGATTTCCCTATTTACAATTTGTAAACATTAATTTTCTGAAATTACATTATTAAGGAGAAAGTCTGAATATAAAACCAACTCTACCTCTACCTGTATAACTCCATATATCTCCACTTCTGATTTACTTGCATGGACCAGATTAAGTTTCACTCAAATCTATATTCTTAATATTTTTAGGTCATGTTCATACAGTTTGCCTGACATACATAAATGGTGTTTTATATACATCCTCATATCTTTGACACTATAATTTTAAACTAATCCTAAAGAACTTACAGGATTATATGCAATTTAAACACACATCTGATCAAGTAATACCCACATCTTTAAACAACATTATTAACGACTTGTTATACACACATTCAACTTCAAATAAACCGGAAAAAGAATGGCGATAACTATTAATTTTGACCTTATTCACTAACACCATCTCACATCAAAGACTAAAAACATTACTGACAAGTGAAATCAACAAAAAAAATCAAGATTATTTTACCTTCTTCTTCGCTTTGCCTCCGGATTTGTTGACGGGATCCTTGTCCTTTTTGGACTTGCCCGCATCTTTCTTCTGCTTGCTATCCTTGGGCGGCTGGACAGTACAGACAACTCATTATAATCGCATGCATACACACGTACAAATAATAAACACGTATTTTAACCAAAACACTGCCATATTTTCAATAACCCAATGTGAGATTATGACTTGCGCGTGATTCAGGCCTCGCGCACGATGCGGCAACACTTCATGCTAAATAATCATACACAAACACTTAAATGACTCATTTAAGCGATTATATTGTATGCATAATGCTTTAAAACGTAAGTCTGTGTTGTTATAATGCGGCTATTACACGTAAAACATGGGTAAAAAGTGGTATTTTCGGACATTTGGGGCCGCTCGAACACTCACCATGCTGAGGCGTTGCGAGCTGCGGAAGAGAAAGGAAGTCGTGAACGCGCACGTCCGCTTTGTCCGTCCACGTGCGCGCTTCGACTGTCGGAGCGTGCGCGGTCTCAGAGTTCAGTGCACGCCATCTGCAGGACTGGAGGTAAAGTAAAAGAAAGGATACATCTAAAAATTTTATTGATAGTATTTGCTGAACATTTTCAATCAAATGCATAACAATTCTTTCAATATTACACATTTTAGCATAACATGTGTAAGCAAAAAAGGAGAGAAAAAAAAATATAGGAGCGGGTGTACATAACATTTACCATAGAGAAGAGAGCTAGTTTAAGTATGTTCACAGTTCTGGTCGCTTTACGACTTGAAATTCCTTTAAGAGTCTCAAAATAAATGTTTAAATCAGCCTTGAAATGGAAGATGTTAGGCTTCCTCTCCTACCATTTACACTTGTGTATATGAAACTTGCCTAATATCATCAACAGATTTAACATAAACAGGAGATTCTTATCTATATCTTTTTTATAAAAAAAATCTGACATCTCTTTTCTTAATAATAATTCTATGACCACTCAGTATATTAAATATACATTCAACATAAAACCAGAAAAATGTAACATACATACAATAAAAAAAAAAAAATCATAACAGTCTCAACATCCATTACACAAAAAACACACGATTCAGAAATTTCAACTTTATACCTATAGAAACTGGTTGGATATATTTTATGTATTTTAATGTATATTTCACGGTACAAGAGCTGTCACTGGGTGGCACCTTTTCAAAAGATACACATTTGCACTAAAAGGGTGCATAAAAATACCTCAAAAGCTTTTATTTGTACCTAAACATTTTAAGAGGTACACTTTTGTACTTTTTAGGTACTAATATATAGCCTTGATAGGGAACCTTTAGGTACAAATGTGTATCTTTTAAAAAAGGGACCACCCCAGTGACAGCTCTCCTGCCTTTATTTCTGAGAGTGTAGTATTGCAGTTCTGTATTTTTGTAATACGTTATTTAAAATGTATTTATGAAGGGAGTTTTGTTGTTTGAGTTTCACAAAACCTTTTTTTTTTGAGTCTACTGCCATTAAATATATCAATTTCTAATTAATTATTATTTAAAACTCACAAATAAAACAGCTTTGGTTGCTTATAAAGGAATTTATCCAGCTGAGATGTATTTTTATCTAAATTCACAAATAAAAAACAAGCTCACAAATTATGTACAGTTCATTAGCCGTGATTTGTGATTAGATTTTAATATTTGCATGTCCAAGGAACGTTTCACTATTCATAGGCGCCCCGGTTTAGAAAAGAAGTAATAACGTTAATGATTATAGACAGATTTTACAACATATAATATAAACATTATTAAATAGCTTTAGGATTATTAATTTAGGCTTCTTGGCATTGGCCGAGGCTCCCTATTTCCCGGGGCCCTAAGCGGTTGCTTACCTTGGTTAAGTCCGCCCCTGATTGATGCAGAAATAAAGGTACAAGTGCTGTCATTGGGGTGGACCTTTTTAAATTTGCACTAAAAGGGTCCATAATGACACCTCAAAAGCTTTTATTTGTACCTAAACATTTTAAGAGGTAGACTTCTGTACTTTTTAGGTACTAATATGTACCCTTGATGTATTAATAGGGACCTTTTAGGTACAAATGTGTAGCTTTTTAAAAAGGGGCCACCCAGTGACAGCTCTCCTGCCTTTATTTCTGAGAGTGTGGTACAAAAGTATTGCAGTTCTGTATTTTTGTAATACGTTATTTAAAGTGTATTTATGAAGGGAGTTTTGTTGTTTGAGTTTCACAAAACCTTTTTTTTTTTAGTCCTGTGCCATCAAATATATCAGTTTCTAATTAATTGTTATTTAAAACTCACAAATAAAACAGATTTGCTTGCTTATAAAGGAGGTTATCCAGGTGAGATGTGAATTAATGTACTTTTACTTCATCTTCAGTCATAGAAAGGAAACATCTCAGAGAAGTGTCCTGTTGCCATAGTTACAGTTTAGAATCATCATTTAGAACGCGTTCTGAGCTGTACGTAGAGCCGTGCAGCACTCTGAAAACTCTGGCTTAGAGGTTGTAGTTTGTGTCTGACATCGACTAAACAGCTTTCCTAGTGAAAAACTTGAGCTATCCATGGTTTTTCAAACTAGCGAAGCTACTGGTGATTTGCTGATGTCCGAGCTACATACCCCGAAGTTTTTTGGCAATCCACGGTGTAAGACCGAGATTGCCATCGCTATGACTGCGGACCAGAAATATCCCAGTGACACACCGTCAAAAATGTGTGTCCAACTGGAGGACGACCAATCAAGAATGGAGGAACCAGCGGTGAAGCCGAAGAAAAAGAGCTTCTTTAAACTGCCCTCTTTCCTCAGAGCTCACCCGAAAAATGTGCAGTCCAGTCAAACACCCGACAGCTCCAATGGTGAGCGGTATTTAGGCCTACATTGTAAAGGGGTTTCCCTGATATGAGATTATTTAAACCACATTCTATACAGTTTGAGGATTAATTCACCCAAAATATTACAATTCTGTTATTAATTGCTTAACCTTGTGTAGTTCCAACACCATGAGACCTTCCTTAATGTTCTGGACACAGATGAATATATCTTAGATTAAACTGGAGAGCTTCATATAAGTTGTTGCAAACAATTTATATGTGTTGAATTTAAGCAAACAAATCAAATTTAGTAATATTCAACCTAATTTGTTTGTTTAAATTCAGCCCAAATAAATTGTTTACAAGCACTTAACTTAAAAATTAATGTTGTAAATCCACAGTACACATTTGAATATTGCTTTTCTTTGTATTTCCTCTCAAATGACTGTGGAAAAGTGTGTACTACAATCGTTTCTCTTTTAACAGATGAGCTGAAAGAAAAGAGGAAGAAAAAGAGCCGGCTGGCGTCGTTCTTCAGAGCGTGCAGAAAACACATGAAGATCTCTTGCCTCACGTCCAACAAAGAGATGGAGGATGAAGAGGAGGAAGAGCAGAAAGAGCTCCCAAACTCTCCAGACAAAGGCACTGATGGTAAATAAACACATCAGTCTATAATGCTATTAATACATTGTATTCTTCACACAGACATCTTGAAAATGACAGTGTAAAATGTGTATCCACTTCATTTCTCCTCTAACAGATGACTCTCTGTGCTGCTCCACGTTTGAGAACTGTCTGGATGTGAATTCTGTCATCATTCATGAAATACGCTCTGTGGAGGACGAGATGGACGTCAGTAAAGGAGAAATCCCACTGACACACACTGACTTATCCTGCAGAGAACAAGAGGAGGAGAAGGAGGACAGGATTATGGAGGAGGAGGTGAAAGACAAGAAAAAGAGAAGGAGAAGGAAGAAAGTGGAGAAGGTGGAGGAGCCAGTGATGGAGAAGGAGGAGGAAAAGATAAAAGAGGAGGACGGAGGGAAAGAGAGAAAGATAAAAGAGGAGGAAACAAATGAGACAATGATGGAGAAGGAGGTGGACAAGACTGAGGAGGAGGAGGATGGAAGGAAAAAGAGAAAGAGAAGGATGAAAGAGGAGAAAAAGGAGCGAAGGAGCAGGAGGAAAGAGGAGAAGGAGAGGAGCAGGATGAAAGAGGAGAAGGAAAGTGAGGAGGATGAGGAGGACATTGAGATGATGGACTTGAAAGAGGAGATAAAGGAGGAGGAGGAGGTGAAGAAGAGAAACAGAAAGAGGAAAATCAGCAGCAGGATGAGCAGGAGAATGATGAGAAGGAGAAATAAGAGGAGGAGAATGAGAGGATGATGGAGGAGGTGGAGAAAAACAATAAAAGATGCATTCAAATTCTTTTGTCCCCGTCTGTTTTGTTCATCTGTTCAAATATCTGATTAAAATGAACTCTGGTGTCTGGTGTTGTAAATAAACTGAAAAACATAATAATAATCAGCAGCAGGATGACGATGAGGAGGAGAAGTCAAAGGAGAAGGATGAGAAGATGAAACAGGAAAAGAAAACAGTGTAACCTGCTGCTGGGCCCCTAAATTACCAGGGCCCTATGCACTCTGTCACCTTAAGACGCAGCTACACACACACATGGACGTACGCACGCACACACACACACAAAGGTGTAATGGTGTGGGGAATTTTTTTTGGCAAACTTTGGGCTCATTAGTACCAATTGAGCATCGTGTCAACCTGAGTATTCATTCATTCATTTTCTTGTCGGCTTAGTCCCTTTATTAACCCGGGGTCGCCACAGTGGAATGAACCGCCAACTTATCCAGCAAGTTTTTATGCAGCGGATGCCCTTCCAGCCGCAACCCATCTCTGGGAAACATCCACACACACACTCATACACTATGGACAATTTAGCCTACCCAATTCACCTGTACCACATGTCTTTGGACTGTGGGGGAAACCGGAGCACCCGGAGGAAACCCACGCGAAGGCAGGGAGAACATGCAAACTCCACACAGAAAGCAAACTGAGCCGAGGTTCGAACCAGCGACCTTCTTGCTGTGAGGCGACAGCACTACCTACTGCGCCACTGCCTCGCCCTACCTGAGTATTGTTGCTGACAATGTTCATCCCTTTATGACCACAGTGTACCCATCTTCTGATGGCTACTTCCAGCAGGGTAACGCACCATGTCATAAAGCGTGAATCATCTCAGACTGGATACTTGACAATGAGTTCACTGTACTCAAATGGCCTCCACAGTCAGCAGATCTCAATTCAATAGAGCACCTTTCGGATGTGGTGGAACAGGAGATTCGCATCATGCATATGCAGCCGACAAATCCGCAGCAACCGCGTGATGCTATCATGTCAACATAGATCTCTGAGGGATATTTCCAGGACCTTGTTGAATCTATGCCAAGTGGGATTAAGGTTGTTCTGAAGGCAAAAGGGGATCCAATACGGTACAAGTAAGGTGTACCTAATAAAGTGTACTGTATATACACATACATGTTATATACACATACACATAGACTGTATATACACACACACAACATATACATATGTATATGTGTGTGCGTGCATGTGTAAGATATACATTTATTAGTTCTTTTTCCAAATGTATAAACTTTAAATGTATAAAACTGGACATAAACGAGACACGTTTTGCGAAAGTTAGCTTGCCAAACCAGGTTAGTGTGTGTTACAAAATGTTTTAACCCTTTTAAAAATATTAGCTGGTTTCATATTTCAAAATTAAGCATATCAGTGCATTAACACCCTAGTTATATACAAAAAAAAAATAATGTAGTTTTGCTCAGAAATAATAATAATAATAATAAAGAAAAAGCATTCAGTATTTAAAATAATCCTGTTGACACATAAGCAACAATAAGTACACATACAATTAACTTTTATACTACATTTTTACACTTTTATACATTCTATATTATACTGCTGGTTTCATGTGACTTGTTTGAATTGATGACATGTGCTGAAACAAACAAAACCACTTATTCTGGTGACAAAATGACAGATGTTTCAAGTGCAAAACAACAATACAGTACATTTAAGCTCATTTCAACACCAAAGCTCTTGAAATGTAACTTAAACACTGGACAATCGTACGCGAATCAAACAACATTCGTGTGAAATGATTCATGTTAATAAATACTAAGAAAGTAAACAGCTCTCCGTGCTCAAAAAGTGTGTAAACATTTCTGTTTTTACAGTAACAAAAGGTTTATCTCTAAAATAATGTCTGATATTGCTGCCGAATAAGCTTGAGAAACAAATATTATTATAATAATAAAACGAATGGAGATGCGTGATAAAAATATACATTAATGCTTCACTGGCATGTAAATGTCCTGTCCGAGTGCTCTCACATTGGCAGGGCTCTCTGATTGGATTTAATAAGAGGATTAGTCCATCTTTTTAGGCACATGGCCCATTTTTGTGCGCATGTTACGGACGAAGAAGAAACAAACTGTGGTTATGGCGCAGGAGACCTCTGCTACCCAGAATGCTGTGTCCCAGCTGTAGCGTTTGGCAATGGTACTGAATGGCAGGCCGGCAATGAATGCACCAACTGAAAGGAAACATTATTAAAATCATTTCAAGCTTATTTGTATAGCACATTTCAGAATAATAGTTTAAAAATAGAGCACATTATTGCATTACAATCAACATCATTTACCATAACTTTATTAATTACTGATATCTTTAACTAACTAACTAGAAACTAATAACTTTTAACAGTAAAGTAAAGTTATTATATATAAGCATAGTTAACCTGCAGTTATATATTTTATATAGGTGATGTCAATGTGTAGATGTTCAATGAAGTGTATTAAGTGTATGTGTTGTCCTCAAAGTCCTCGAAGGATGGTGTTAATAAATGGTTTTAAGAAACATTCAATCTCCTGCATGGACTATTTAATGACAGAATGCATTGATTTACCATTTGCCATCAGAGCTACAATGGCGTGGGACGTCCCGCAGAAGTTGGATGGGGCGCTTTCACTCGCAATCACTCCGAACAAGGCGATTGGTCCGTATGAGGAAAATCCAAATGCAGCACCAAGAATCAGAATCCAAAGCTGGACAACAGAACGAGGTTGTGTTAAACACTATTAGAGTCTAACACCAATATGACTAGTGAAGCTCGATTATAGACAAAAATTAAATGACTATTTTGGTCAAAGTAGTAATCACAATTATATAAAATTTTATGTATGTATGGAAGAGAAACAACAGTTGTAAGAGCAACAAATAATAACTTGACTTCTAGTTGATAATTTGGAAAAGTGGCAGAAGGTGGATTTTTCTGATGAATCATCTGTTGAACTGCATCCCAATCATCTCAAATACTGCAGAAGATCTACTGGAATCAACATAGACCCAAGATTCTCCAGATAGACTCAGGAAAAATCATGGTTTGGGGTTACATGCAGTATGGGGGCGAGAGATCTGCAGAGTGGATGGCAACATCAACAGCCTGAGGTATCAAGACATTTGTGCTGCCCGTTACATTACAAACCACAGGAGAGGGCAAATTCTCCAGCAGGATAGCGCTCATTCTCATACTTCAGCCTGCACAACAAAGTTCCTGAAAGCAAATAAGGTCAAAGTGCTCCAGGATTGGCCAGCCCAGTCACCAAACATGAACATTATTGAGCATATTGAGGAAGGAGGAGGCATTAAAGATGAATTCAAAGAATCTTGATGAGCTCTGGGAGTCCTGCAGGAACACTTTTTTTGCCTTTCCAGATGACTTTGAGTGATTTGAGTGAAGTGATTTGAGCCATTGTAGAGATGTGTGGATGATCTAATCTAGAGGCCTTTACCTTTCATATAATCCACTTCTGATACAAAATGATCAACTAGAAGTTATTATTTGTTGTTCCTAAAACTGCGATAGGCGACATCATTTTCGTTAGGTAGTGTATACGTATACAGTTGAAGTCAGAATTATTATCCCCCCCTGAATTATTAGACCGCTTGTTTATTTTTTACCAAAATTTCTGTTTAATGGAGGGAATATTTTTCAACACATTTTTAAACATAATAGTTTTGATAACTCATCTCTAATAACTGATTTAGTTTATCTTCCTTATGATGTTATGATGACATTAAATAATATTTGACTATATATTTTTCAAGACACTTCTATAGAGCTTAAAGTGACATTTAAAGGCTTAAATAGGTTAATTAAGTTAACTAGGCAGGTTAGGGTAATTAGGCAAGTTATTGTATAACGATGGTTTGTTCTGTAGACTATCGGAAAAAAATTTGTCCCTAAACTGGTGTTTAAAAAATTTAAACCGGCTTTTATTCTAGTCGAAATAAAACAAATAAGACTTTCTCCAGAAGAAAAAATACTATCAGACATACTGTGAAAATTTCCTCGCTCTGTTAAATATCATTTGGGAAATATTTAAAAAAGAAGAAAAAAAATTTGAAGGGGGGCTAGTAATTCTGACCTTAACTGTATATATATATATATATGGCACAACAATCAGTCAAAAATGAATCCAAAATTGTATTTTGATTAATTACACAGCCCTTGTTTTAAAGTCATTCCAGTGGAGCTCAATACCTCTTTCTCCGAGACACCAGTGAGGACTGAAACTGGATGTAGAGCCAGAACCCACAGCGGTGCTTCCTGAGGAAACACACAAAGCCATTTAATAAACACAACATTACACAAAATGATGCTCATACAGATTCTGAGTAGGCATGTAACAATTTATCATTCATTTTCTTGTCGGCTTAGTCCCTTTATTAATCCGGGATCAACACAGCGGAATGAACTGCCAACTTATCCAGCACGTTTTTACGCAGCGGATGCCCTTCCAGCCACAACCCATCTCTGGAAAACACCCATACACACTTATTCACACTCATACCCAACAGACTATTTAGCCTACTTAATTCACCTGTACCGCATGTCTTTAGACTGTGGGGAAAACCAGAGCACCCGAACGAAACTCACACAAATGCAGGGGATAACATGCAAACTAAAATGTATCATTTATCATAATTTATCAACATACTGCAAAACAATGCAACAATATAAACAGCAAGCAGCCCGGTTCATCAGTTTTTAGGTTCCCCTTACACATTTCCATTGGTGGTCTGCACTATTTGCAGTGCGTTTCTGTATCTGCAAGATATGTGAGAATTTGCATGCGTGTGTTCTCAACCTGATAAAGATATTTTCTTAATTTGCTGCTATTTTTGGTAACACTTTACAATAAGGTTCATTAGTTAATGCATTTACTAACATGAACTAATTATGACCAACACATGTACAGCATTTATTAATCATAATTGAACATTAACTAATGCATTATTAACATTCAAGTCCATGTTTGTTAACATTAGTTAATGCACCGTGAGTTAACATGAAGTAACAATGAACTACGGTATTTTCATTAACTCACGTTAACTAACATGAACAAGTACAGTAGTAGATGTATTGTTTATTCATTGTTTGTTCATGTTAGTAACTGCATTAATTAACATTAACTAACGAACCTTATTGTAAAGTGTGACCCTATTTTTTAACTTTCATTAGTTTTATGAACTTGCAGCACATTTGAGCTTCCTCAGCCATAAACTTGAGATTGTGAGAATCTTTTTAAACCTAAACAGTCTCTGTTATGTTCTCAGTATTGTGAAGGTTATTTCCTAAAAGCTCACCTCTGGGGTTTCTGGTGTGATGGTAACCCGGAAGAGGTACATGGACACAGCCATCCCTGCCATCATCATCAGGAGCAGCCCATGACGAGGATTGCCATAAACACCCAGCCCTTGCTGGAAAACAGACAGATGACAGAAGAAAGTCATTTAAAACTTACGTTAAATTTATTCAGTATGTAGGGATCACGGGACTAAGCCGAAAAGAAAAATCACTATTTTTTATTTTATTTATGTATATATATATATATATATATATATATATATACATAAATAAAATAAAAAATAGTGATTTTTTCCACTGTATATTTTTTTATTTGGGTGGCTTTTTGGAGGTATTTTTTCCCAATGCCCAATATCATTTCTGCCTCTGATCTGCACTGATCTCTCCGCAATCCCTTTAATCCCTAAAACACTACTATAATCTGATATAATGTACATCTCAAATTATTATAATCTATTACAACTCACCCTAGCAACAGCCCTGTCAGACAGATAACCAGCTCCAATGCTGCCAAAAAACCCACCAACTTCCAGCGCACTCATGTACGAGCTGCCTGTAGAAAACACAACACACACATTAGCATCCTTACAGAATAAAGACTGTATAAAAAAAGCTGTAGGACAGAAACAGAAAGCAGCAGACTCACCCATCATGGCAGACTGGCCTTTCTCCTGCATGAGGAACAGCTGACCCCAGTCAGTGCAGGCGATCTTTACCCCAAACACAACCAGGTATCCGGCAGACAGAACCCACAGGTAAGGAGACAGCAGGAAATCCTTTAGACTGCTTTCATCATTAGGGCCTGAAAAGGGGTGGAGACTGAGTTGATTGACAGGAGCAGTGGCCAATAACAACACAGATATTTCAAACATAAACATAAAAACCAAGTATAGTGTAAGTTACACAGTACATGGGGTTTGTAAAATGTGTAATGTTTTTGAAAGAAATCTCTTAAGTTCACCAATGCTGATTTATTTTGATGTGAAATATAGAGTAAACAGTAATACTGTGAAATATTGTCCATGGCTCTGTATCAAAAATGCCATGATATTGCAGCCCAAACTATTACTGATCCACCCTTTATGCTTCACTCTGGGCATGCAACAGTCTGGGTGGTATGCTTCTTTGGGGCTTCTCCACACCGTAACTCTCCCAGATTTGGCAAAGACAGTGAATCAGAGAACACTACATGTTTTAAATTGTCCACAGCCCCAGATTTTCGCTGCTAGCATCATTGAAACTGCCATTTGGCATTGGCAGAAGTGACCAAATGTTTGGCTATAGCAGCTCGGCCATGTATATTGACTAGGGATGTAACGGTATCAAAATTTCACGATACGGTAATACCTCGGTATGAATGGCACGGTACGGTATTTATTGAATCATTTAAAAGGAAAAACAAAACTATTGAAGAGACTCAAAAAAAGTGCTAGAATGTTCAGGTTACCTCAACACTGAACAGATCAATGACATACAAATTATCTATCTGTAAACTTTCAAACAGGAACTTAAATTATTCAATTTTAATAACAAAAAATATTGTAAAAAAAACAACAACAACAACACCACTCGAAAGGACAAGCCATGAGTGAGATAGAGGTCTCTTGGTGGTACAAGTCATTGGCTGTTTCTCAATATGCGTTCTTCAGCGGTCTTGCCGCCTCGTGTTCTCGTGCAACGTCATCATCAGCTGCCTAAGTTCAGTTCCAATACTCAAGGCCGCAAGTACGGAGGACGCGTGAAACTTCCCGGATGTGTTCTTGATATCGAGGACGCACTGATGCAGACTTGAGCGCCGAACTCGCTCTGGAAGTCCCAGAAGTCATTGCGGCTGGAGGTGGGAAGCGCAGCATTTTATTTAGCTTTTTTATTAAAGTTTAGAGATATCACTTATTTACCTCAGGAGTTTCCCTAAATAAAACGGTGAAAGTAAACATTAACATGAACATCTTAATAAAGGAATAAACACATTAAGGGTGTTTGTTTGCTGAAATTCGTATTAAAATTAGTTTTATTTATATTGTGCAGAGTATTTTTATAATGTTTTTATGCAAAGTATATATTTTGAAGAGGGGGGGAACAATAAATCGTTGTATGAGTGCTGTAATGTTTAAATAATTTCCATTTAAAACGTGTGAAGGTCACGTGACCATCAGGAAGAACGCAGCATCCCATTTCTCAAAGGACACATTCTCTGCCCTCATGGTCTCCTGAGTTCGTTCTTTCGAGGACACCTGGCAAGACCGGTCTCCACAAGAACACAAGTCCGTTCTCTGCATTCTTGGAATTGAGAAACAGCCATCGTCTCCATCCATCTGAGCAGTGTGCTGTGTTCTGCTGTCCCCTTGACTAAAAGAATCCCCATCATGTTAGTCGTATTCCCCGACTTGTATATCAGCACAGTCTGGCAGTGCCTGCATACCCTTTTTTCTGTCACCTTTTCTTCTTTCCTGTTTCTTTTCAGAGAGAAACTGAAAGGCTTCCACACATCTGATTAAAAACCCACTTTAGGTTCGACCATTTTTACCTCTTTTTCTTTGCCGCTACTAGCAGCACCCTCCATTTCCGCATTACTGGATCTGTAGCGACAACAAACCGCAAAGGATGATGGCCACGCCTGGGCTGATGAAAATTGTAGTTTCTGCTACCTCCTGTTCGCTCCATTCGCCTGAGTAAACTTTTCACCAAAAGACCTATGATTTTATTGAGTCATAACCACGGTAATATTTAATTCAAGTAAACGTTAGCATTGAACTCTATAATGCATAATCAAAAATTATTTAAAATTTAATACCTTCCAAAATAGCATTTAAGACTTTTTAATACTTTTTAGGGGCCCTAAATTTCTCTAGATTAACTTTTAATACCTTTAAGACTCCACGGACACCCTGATATTATTTTAACGTTAGTTTGTAGCCCACAGTCTGTTTACTGCATCTTGTTATTCATCTATTCATTATTTCCCAACAGACGTCTTAAACATTTGAGAAAACAACCTACATATGCACTAAAGTAAGGGTGCTTTCACACCTACACTTTTGTTTCGGAACGTGTCTCGTTTGCCCAGTTAGCGCGGTTCATTTGGCAAAAGTGAACAGGGCAATTGCGCTCTGTTCCGCGCCAAAGTAATCGCTCGAGATCGCTTGAATGAGGTGGTCTCGGCTCGATTGAAACGAACCCTGGAGCGGTTCGATTGCAGTGAGAAAGCGATCCGATCCGAGCGCGGTTATATCACAGTGTTTTATGGATATGTAATAGGCTTACGGCTATATGAAGAGAGAATTATGAGTAGGGCTGGAAGTTTCGCGAGTCTCGACGAGTGATGATCTCCCGGTAATCTCGCGTCTCTCTCCCAGTCCTCAAATAGGCATCGTCGCGCACCCTTCTCACCCCTCCCCACCGTGTCTCTCCTCAGACACGTCACGCGCGCGCACCCTGTCAATCACCACCAAACCACCACCTCTCCTGATAGCTTAGCGGGACGCTGCAAAATAAACCCTGACACTCTGACCAATGTAAGGAGAGTTTCCCCGCATGTGACTTGTTTTAGCTCTTTTGGTCCGATTAGAAACTTTGCAGTGTGAAAGCGAACCGCTCTAAGAGCAAAGAGCAACAAAGTAACAATTGTAATCTCTGTTTCGGAACAACTGAATCGATTCACAGGTGTGAAAGCACCCTAATAGTTTTGTAATGTAGTCTTGCACCAAGTGTTTAGGATTGTACTGTGTTACATCTGTATCTTGTGCTATAATGAAAATCCCTAAAAAACATTTCAACAATACATATGCACTGAACAAATACAGATAGGAAACAGACTATTGGCTAGCTCCTTACCTCCCTTCTTCCCCTTGCCCTTTTTAGCTCCAGGCTGAATGCTGGGCAGCCCGACGTCACTGGGCTCGTTTTTGACCATCAGAAGGCAAACAACAGCGACGGCCATGCAGATCAGCCCAGACACGGACATGATGACCCTCCAGTCATAATACTGGACCAGCACTGTAGTGATGATGGGGCCCAGACTACCTGCCAGATTCATACTGCAGCATAGGATGGCCCACCACGTCCCAAACTGAGACGGTTCAAACCACTGATGAGGAAAAACAGGCAAGCGTAAGTAGGGCTGCACAATATAATGTTTCAGCATTGATTTCACAATGTGTGCAGCAGCAATAATCACATCATTGAAATTGATGAATCAGTAATATAATTAATTAGGAGCCACATTTAAAAACGCTTCTGATTTGTGGAGTCACTGCAACGTTTAAATCATAAATCAACTTTTAAACCAAATTATTATTATTATTTATTCATTAATTCATTTTCTTTTGGGCTCAGTACCTTTATTAATCTGGGTCGCCACAGCAGAATCAACCGTCTATTACTATTTATAATATTAAACCTTTTACTTAAATACTTAATGGTCCGTGTACATTTTGTTCATTTGTTTTCCATTTTCAAACGGAATAAAGGAAATGGAGAAAACGGCCGTTTTCCCGTTTTTCTTTTGCTCACGAGAAAACGAAAAAACGAGATTTTGGCTGGATTTTCGTTTTTTGGTTTAGGGTAGGAAAACGGATAAACGACTTTAAAATTCATTTTACACATGTAGGCGGTGCTGAAACGCCCACTTTCCTCTAATTGGTCAACCAAATCTGCGCTCGTGACGTCACCCTCAAAATAAAAGCCTTACACGCAGGCTTTTAATTATTATTATTTAATTATATATATAAACAAAGTTTACATATTCTATCATTTAAACCACACACAGTTAGCAGGCTTACATTCATTGCGTATGTATAAATTAAATAAAAACGTAAATCAGCAGTATTCTTAGACATTTGTCATTAAAATAAGGTCATAGTTCACTGCCAAGCTTCTTGCTGCTGTGCACCTGATGCAGAGCAAAGATAGCCATTTCCGAGCAGCACCTGGTTTACATGATTGTTTCAGAGCAAGGGCTTTATAATAATAATAATAATAATAATAATAATAATAATTATTATTATTATTATTATTATTATTATTATTATTATTATTATTATCAGTTACTAGTGTTTTTATTGTTTGGTGTGTTTTTTTTTTCTTTTTAATAGTTGTTACCAGAACCAGAATAAGAACACTTTGGGCCCTGCTATAAAAACAAAGGGTACCATTTGTTTTCATTTATTTCTTCCTATTTTAATTATATATTGTAATTATTTATTTGATAATTAATACTATTTTATTGCCACGCCAAAGTAGGCCTGTCTTATTATTTTTTTATTAAATTTGCTGTTATTGTAGGCTAGATGGCAGGCTTTAAATATTTTAAATAACATTTACTCATAACCTTACTAATTCGAGAGCCGAACCTAAAAAAGTTTACGTGCAATAAGCCTGTACAATAAAGGGAGCCGCAATGCATATTTCTAGCGCATTCTTTCACTCAACAATTATTGCTGGAATAATGACATAAATTTCAAATTAACTAATTAAACACATTATAGTTGATAAAAAAAATTGTGTCTAGTTCCGACAAACAGATGAGCTCGCTACATGTGCGTTGCGCTAATAATTTGACATTTGCTCTTCTTGAGAAAGTGCTACAGCGGGCCCTGCTATTTCACATATAAGGTTAGTGATACGTATTTTAAATTAGTATTGCACATTATTCATTCATTTTCTTGTCGGCTTAGTCCCTTTATTAATCCGGGGTCGCCACAGCGGAATGAACCGCCAACTTATTTAGCAAGTTTTTATGCAGCGGATGCCCTTCCAGCCACAACCCATCTCTGGGAAACATCCACACATACACACACACTTATACAGTACGGACAATTTAGCCTACCCAATTCACCTGTACCGCATGTCTTTTTACTGTGGGGAAAACCGGAGCACCCGGAGGAAACCCACGCTAACGCACCACACTACTGAATTAGACACACAATCTCAAAAAAAAACTTGATGCTTATTTACATTATCTAAAGTCATTTCTTAGGAGGTAGGATCTGTTGTTGTATTATATATTTTCGTTTTAATATGCAAATAATTTTCTTTAATTTGTAATAGGTCCCTCATTGCATAAAATAACCAGCCTTTGTATTCAATATGTTTGTAAATTGTCCATCCAGTTTGACGCAAGCTAAACAACATTTTGGCCTGTTTTGCTTATTAAATGAGTGATTTTCACGGAGAAACAAATCATCCATCCACACAGTTTTGTATAGGACCTGTGTGATCAAAAATATACACTTCATCATAGCCTATAGGAAAATGTATAGAACCAATTTTGTGTTGTATAATTAAAAATATTAAAAATACAATAATAAAAAAAAGGAATAACATTTGAAGTGCAATGCTTCAAAGATCCAATACGCTGCATGCAGAGCCAAAACAAAAACTGGTTTGTTTGTTTAATAAAATAATAATATGAAATTAAAGTGAAATAGTTCCATAACGTGTATTATAACTGTAGTCACCCTACATGACAAATCATCCGTTGCGCCGGTCAGTTTCACCTTTAATCAAGAATGTGCCAGAACCAAATGAGAATATTTACAGATTACCTCGGAATGAGACCTCGGTCTGTGAAGAATGCAGAACACAGAAACTCGTTGAGAATGGAGATGCATGTTAGATGTTTTATATCCCTTTAGATATTGTAAATAAACAACTAGTTTTTATAGAGATTGTGTCATGTCTTTTCTTTGACGCACGCGCTGAACAGCCCCGAAAAGGCGCCTCTATTTAGCCTGTAGCCTAAATAATAGTTTAGATTTTATAACATATAATGTTCCATTACTTTAAATGTATAATGTTTTTTAATATTTATGGATTATATAAAATATATAGTTTATATAAATGCGCTCTGATCATTCAAGGATCATAATGCGTTGCATATTCTTCTTATTCTTCATTCTAGGCTTGATCCGTAAATTGTGTATTTTATAAACTGATCGTTTATAAGGACTAAGCTATTAATAACTGTAATTCCTCGAATGGAAAAAGAAAGAAAAAGAGAACTTAATTCGACATATGCATATAGTGCGCTTATTTCTGCGCGCATCGCGCGCTTTACCGAATTACCTTTTTTATTTTTTATGCACTATAAATGCATCTGGCAGCACCGAAAAGAGCAAATGCCAAGTTATTAGCGCAGCGCACAGACAGCTAGCTCGTCTAGTCTGAACCAGGGGTTTTCAAACTATTCATTGCACACCGATCCCATTGCATTTTATTTAGGATAAACCACTTATTTAAAATTAATTAATTAAAAGGTGCGTACTCTCCAATACACCACTGTAGTGTCATAATATTTAATAATTATAATTAAGATAGACACATGACCTCCATTTAATAAACAATTTATTTGCCATACTCTGTTAATTTGAAGTTTAAAGTTTAAATCATTTATGTTAAACTTAAATTATTTAAAAACTTAAAAAGACTTAAATTTAGTCATTTAAGACATTTTAGGTCATAAGTTTACATACATTGACCGTTGCATTTAGTAGGCCTATTCTGGTCTAAATAAGCTTTTTGCATCTTAGGTGTTTACACACACAAATTAAGCAGTTTATACGTACATTTAATGTTACTTTGAAATTACTTTTGATGCAATAAATAATCCTAAATAGTTGAAAGTGTTAACATATTCTTGAAATGTAGTTATTTTATAACTATGAAATTTATTACTAAACAAAGTGAATCATTATGAATTTGCCAAGAAATAATCCACTTTACCACCGTAAAGCAATGCCCCACACTCATAAGAACGGTAGAACCTGGACTGTATGATATGTTCTGTATGTAAAATAGAGAAAATAAGCAAGATGCGCAGTCTCATGCAGCCTTAGTGAAATATAGCGCGTCACAGCAATGAACTAAAAATAAAACCACCCTTGAAATGCTGGCGATCTTAATTTTTTCAGCCTACACTGACTGAGAATAATGTTGCACTATTTAATTAACAAATAATTAGAATGTTTTTTTTTCCTTCAACACATTCATCATTACTTTTGCCTGTGCAAGTTTTTTTGCGCGCGCTTGAGCGCGAAGGCATCTATTTTCAGGTGCAAGATGGCACTTTGGGTGGCACCAGCACACTCTGCCACACCTGTGGCTATATTCCTGCTACAATAATAATAACAACAACGACAAAATAATAACAAAAAATAATAATAATAAGACAGGCCTACTTTGACGTTGCAATAAAAAAGTATTAATTATCAAATAAATATTTACAATAGGCTAAAGGCATATATTAAATTAAAATAGGAGAAAATCCAATAGAAACAAATGGTACCATTTATTATAGCCCCATGCAGGGTCCATTGTGTTCTTACAACCATTAAATAACTAAGTAAATAATAATAATAACAATACTAATAATAATAGGCCTAATAATAATAATAATAATAATAATAATAATAAATTATTATTTTATACAGAGTAGGCTATTATTTAGGCCTACAATAGCTCTGAAACAATCATGTAAACCAGGTGCTGCTCAGAAATGGCTTTCTTTGCTCTGCATCAGGTGCACAGCAGCAAGAAGCTTGGCAGTGAACTATGACCTTATTTTAATGACAAATGTCTAAGAATACTGCTGATTTACGTTTTTATTTAATTTATACAAACGCAATGAATGTAAGCCTGCTAACTGTGTGTGGTTCAAATGATAGAATATGTAAACTTTGTTTATATATATAATTAAATAATAATAATTAAAAGCCTGCGTGTAAGGCTTTTATTTTGAGGTTGACGTCACGAGCGCAGATTTGGTTGACCAATTAGAGGAAAGTGGGCGTTTCAGCACCGCCTACATGTGTAAAATGAATTTTAAAGTCGTTTATCCGTTTTCCTACCCTAAACCAAAAAACGAAAATCCAGCCAAAATCTCGTTTTTTCGTTTTCTCGTGAGCAAAAGAAAAACGGGAAAACGGCCGTTTTCTCCATTTCCTTTATTCCGTTTGAAAATGGAAAACAAATGAACAAAATGTACACGGACCCTTAATAACACTTAAAATACGTAATTAAATTCTTAATAACTGTACAGTTTTTAAGTTTTTCCAGTTCACAATTTTAAAACCTTTTAAAATTACAAAACCTTTTCGTAATATTTGATATTTTTTATTTATATGAACAAATATTTTTTGCAAGTTTGTAACAGCAACATTATTTGGTTTGCAAAATTTGCGATTTTTTTGAATAGTCTGAGACCCTTTTAATATTCTGAGAATGAAAATTGGTCAAAAAAATTATGCAGAATTAAATCGTAATTTTATATATATATATATATATATATATATATATATATATATATATATATATATATATATATATATATATACATATATATATATATATATAATAAAATACTTACTGCAACATTTAATAATAATTAATAATTTCCTTACATTTATATTCTAGACCAGGGGTTCCCACACTTTTCATCCTGCGACCCCCAATATGACGATGCCAGTGACTCGCGACCCCCAATATCCTGGCTATGAATACAGAAACTTTGCATGCAATGTCACATACACACCAATACACCCAGGAATATTCTTCGTTTAATGTCAGTGCGGTAAATGGGCCAGAAACTTTAACCTGGTGTTATAAAATCAATCTGCTGCATCTGACGCTATTGCTGTGTCTTTAATATAATGTAATTACCATTGGGGTCGCAATCCAATAAAACTAGTAACTATAAGCTACTATAGTAACTATATATTAATTATAAACGACTATATTTTTTTTCTTCTGTAGGTTATGGATAAAATATGGTCATTCCAATATGATTTAATAATAATAAATAGACTTTTTTTAAATCACCAGTCGACCCCCCTTCATTGTCCTGTGACCCCTCGAGGGGTCCCGACCCCCACTTTGAGAACCCCTGTTCTAGACACTCAAAGCAATTTACACATTGGGGGGAATCTCCTCATCCATCAGTGTGCATGACGCGAAGGCAGCCATATTGCGCCAGACCGCACACCAGCTGATTGGTGGAGAGGAGACAGAGTGATGAAACCAATTTTGATATGGGGCTGGTTAGGAAGCCATGACGGACAGAGGCCAGTGGGCAAATTTGGCCAGGATGCCGGGGTTAAACCCCTACTCTTTTTCGAAGGACACCCTGGAATTTTTAACGACCACAGAGAATCAAGACCTCGGTTTAACATCTCATCTGAAAGACGGCACTCACTGAGCAGAATAGAATCCCCATCAATATACTGGGGCGTTAGGACCCACACAGACTGCAGGTTAAGCACCCCCTGCTGGTCATACTAACACCACAACCAGTAGCAACCTAGCTTTCCTATGTGGTCTCCCATCTAGGTACTGACCAGGCGCAGCCCTGCTTAGCTTCAGTGGGCGACCATGTGAGAGTTGTAGAGAGCTAGCTCATACAGTTACCACAAATGTGTTTTTAATCATTTAAGTCAGTTTGAAGTATTCAGGAAATAAAAAGTTTTTACAAACTTTTTAAATACTTTAATATCTGAATATTGATAGAAATTGAAATTAAGATCGTCCTTTTTACCTCTCTCGTGACATCCAAATAAAACGGTCCTAAAATAAAGAAAATGTAGGGTGGTTTGTGATTTCATCCATTGGGAACCGATTGAATTGTTTGAAAATGGAGGTTGCTAACAAAATAAAGAAAAATTGACGAACAGATCAAAGCGATCAGAAAAAACAAGAAGCCGTGATAGCCCCGCCCTAAAAGTTCTTCATGTGACCAGAAATGAAGAAAAGTCATTTCGAGGGGAAAGAAGATAAATTATTGTGAGAGGAAATTATTTTTAACAAAATAAGGAAGTGAACAGATACAGTTGACGTCAGAATTATTAGCCCTGCTGAATTAATAGAGTTAATAATTTCTGTTTAACAGAAAGCAGATTTTTCAACACATTTCTTAGCATAATAGTTTTAATAACTCATCTCTAATAACTCATTTCTTTTATCTTTGCTATGATGACAGAACATAATATTGCACTATATATTTGTCAAGACACTTCTATACTGCTTAAAGTGACCTTTAAAGGCTTAACTAGGTTAATTATGTTAAATAGGCAGGTTAGGGTAATTAGACTAGTCATTGTTTAACGATGGTTTGTTCTGTAGACTATCGAACAAAAATATAGCTTAAGGGGGCTAATAATTTTGACCTTAAAATGTTTTAAAAAATTTAAAAAATTCTTTAATTGAAGCTGAAATAAAACAAATAAGAATTCTCAAGAAAAAAAAATATTACAGGAAATACTGTGAAAAACTCCTTGCTCTGTTAAACATCATTTGGGAAATATTTCATTCATTTATTCATTTTCCTTTAGCTTAGTACCTTTATTCATCATGGGTCGCCACAGCGGAATGAACCGCCAACTTATCCAGCATATGTTTTACACAGAGGTTGCCCTTCCAGCTGCAACCCAGTACTGGGAAACACCCACACACACACACACACATACCCTATGTCTAATTTAGTTTCTTCAATTGACCGGTACAGCACGTCTTTGGACTGTTGGGGAAACCAGAGCACCCGAAGGACACCCACACCCACATGGGGAGAACATGCAAACTCCACAAAGAAATGCCAAGCCGGGACTTGAATCATCGACCTTCTTGCTGTGCTAACCACTGAGCCACTGTGTCTCCTTGGTAAATATTTAAAAAAGAAAAAAAATTCAGAAGAGAGGTAATAATTTTGGCTTCAACTGTACATACTTTATAACAATCACTACTATATACATATAAATCAGAAGAGCATGCAGACTTTAATGACCACTCAGTGAAATTTATTTCACTGCCAGCTAACAAGTGCTTCCTGGTTCGTTTGGCACGGTTATCTGCTATTGGTTGCTTTAATTAGATTTAAGCAAACCGTATCTCTCTCAGCTTGACTCCACAAGTATGCGGCAGCGTTCAGCTGTTGCGTCTACAGACTCCCATCCATCAACATGAGAGTTAAAATTCCCATCTATTCCTGTCAGACTGCCAACACTAGAAGACAGGTGCATACTGATGGATTTACCTTCCGGAGCACCTTTCCACACGGTGGCCAGCCGAAGCCCTGACCGAATCCATTCACAAACCAAAGCACGGTGAACAGCATGACCGTGGAGGAGCAGGAGAAGGCGATGTTTATGGTACCAACAATGAAGAGGCCGATGGAGAAGAGCCAGCGAGCGCTGATCCGGTCTGAAAGCACTCCGCTGATGAACTTACTGATAGCATAGGCCAGAGTCTGACTGCTGGTGATCAGTCCTGGAACACAGGGGAAAATTAGACTGAAAAAACTAGGTCTGTCATGTTAAGGAATTTTTGTTTTGCGATATATTGTTACAGAAAATGGTGCGATAAGAGATATTATTGTCATTTTGAGATCATTTTATTCCACTTATTATATAATGATTATGCAAATAGTCAATACTTAGCATTCTTAAGGTTATTTAGATAGTATAATTTTATGTTAAGGGCAGCGCAGTGGATGGCACAATCGCCTCACAGCAAGACGGTCGATGGAGCCTTGGCTGGGCCAGTTGGCATTTCTGTGTGGAGTTTGCATGTTCTCCCTGTGCTGGCATGGGTTTCCTCTGTGTGCTCCGGTATCCCCCACAGTCCAAAGACATGCGTTATAGGTGAAATGAATAAGCTAAATTGTCCGTAGTGTATGTGTGTGTGAATGAGAGTGTATTGGTGTTTCCCAGAGATGGGTTGCAGCTGGAAGGGTATCCGATGTGTAAAACAAATGCTGGATAAGTTGGCAGTTCGTTCCGCTGTGGCGACCCCTGATTAATAAAGGGACTAAGCCGAAAAAAATGAATGAATGAGTAAATGAAAATAAATCTGGGTGACACGATGGCTTAGTGGTTAGCACCGTCGCCTCACAGCAAGAAGGTCGCTGGTTCGAGCCCTGGCTGGGCCAGTTGGCATTTATGTGTGGAGTTTGCATGTTCTCCCCGTGTTGGCGTGGGTTTCCTCCGGGTGCTCCGGTTTCCCCCACAGTCCAAAGACATGCGGTACAGGTGAATTGAACAAACTGAATTGACCGTAGTGTATGTGTGTGATTGAGTGTGTATGGATGTTTCCCAGTGTTGGGTTGCAGCTGAAAGGGCAGCCACTGTGTAAAACATATGCTGGACAAGTTGGCGGTTCATTCTGCTGTGGCGACCCCTGATTAATAAAGGGACTAAGCTGAAAAGAAAATGAATGAATCAATAATAATAATAATAATAATATAAAAAATGTGTCAAAACATGTTGATAACATTTCATATGATGCTCTAAATGATTAATCATTTAAATTTATTAACAACTAATTAATTAACTGTTTTATGTTAAATTTAGTTCTCTATTTTACTCCGAAAGTCCAGAGAAACAGAGAATTTTCAAGAGGAATCTTTTGTGTGTGTGTGTGTGTGTGTGTGTGTGTGTGTATGTCTTACCAAGCTCTTCTTTATCCAGCTCAATCTCCTCCATCACGGATGGCATCAGAAAGGAAAAAGTCTTCCGGTTGAAGTAGTAAAGCATGTATCCCACAAACATAGAGATGAATATAACGGTGCGATAATATCCGTAACCTGCTGCTCCCATGATTGCAGATGTAAGATTATAAAATGATAATAAATAAGAGCAAAAAAATAAATAAAATTTGGGGGAAATGGAGCACTTGAAATCTATCAGATCTGATAACCTAGATTACGACACATTCCAAAACTGATCCACAGGTCAAGATCATTTCATCCGGCTTCTGTTTTCAGCTCCTCTCCTGGTTCCTCAAAGCTGAACGGAGGTTTTCTTCAGCCGGCATTCACTGTGATGTGCCTGGAAAACATCTCAGAGTCAGTTTACATCTCTATTCGAGTAGCTGAGAAATAAGTCTGCAAACAAAAAAAAAGCATTTGAGCAAAAACAATGGGCAAAACACTATTACAATGTGCCTCTGCACCATTCAAATAGACTTTCGTAACCAAAACAAATCACTCCTGACTGGAACAGAGGAGGCTTACATGAAGAGATTTCAACACTGTGCTCAGACAGACCTCATGTAGGGTAAATGTTAAAGGGTGTTACTTCTTAAGTGGCCATAGTGCATGTGAGGGGGGGTTGAGTAGAGATATGTATTTGAAACATGATGCAGGTGTCAAGGGAACATCTCTAGCAAGAACAGTGGATAAAAATAACATGTTAAGTGCTTGCAGGTGGAAACATGCACTCTCTATACAACTATTAATTGAATAAAATCGCATAAAAACAAAGCTCGATGAATAAAAGCGATGTGTTGTCGCTTTTATGGCGCCTAATCGTCTTTGACCACGCGAACGCGCGTTTGTACCAGCGCGCGCATATCACGAAAGTGCATATAAACGCGTCGTGACGTCACTGCATCAAAACAGCAGCGAATGCAGAAACAAAACTCAATCTGATTGTGACCTCTACATTAAGCGTCCTTAGTAGCACAATGCAGACTAAACGTACTGCTTATGGCATCCTAAGATATATATATATTAGTAATTCTTAACATATCTTTGGTTTACACAGCTTAATGATACTTTACAGTTTGATAAATAGAAGGATAAGGGAATAAAATGTACCTCCGACTGTCCGGGATCACGTTCAGAATTCACGCCGCTGCAGGAGCTCCTTCTGTAATCTGTGTTCTGATTGGCCGTCAAGGCTGTCAAGCATGACGCGGTGGGCGGGAGTTAGTCGTCTCGCAGTCCTCAGTGGCACACTTGAATTTTGCAGCATTTGTGTAGCCTTTTCAGATTTGATGGAATATTACAGCGTTTCAGGAAAGAAATGTCCAAATTCCAGAAGAGATTTGTAACTGCTGGGTTGAATTGAAACGCATTTAGTGTGGTAAGTTATCATTTTTATGCTTTATTCACTCATTTATTGACTTCGTTATTCATTTCACTAATAATTGTAAAACAATATCATCTACATGATGTAAAATGATGCTGACGCAAAGATGTAGCCAAACAATTGCACCATAACCTCTAGATGGCGCTGTACAAAAGCATAACCTATGGTTTGTCGTTAATTAAATAATTAAACTATGCCAATTAATGTTGTGTCATGCTGATGCATTAATAATTCCCTTTAAATCATGTGTCTCTAAACATTTTAGTAACCATCATAAACCTGAGAGTTAAAACATTATAGATTGAAGAGCCATTAAATATGGTCTACAGCAGTGTTTCTCAACCACGTTCCTGGAGGACCACCAGCTCTGCTTCTTTTCCGTATCTCCTTAACCAAACACACCTGATTCAGATCGTTAGCAGAGACTGACAGACAGACCTGTAATAGGTGTGACAGACAAAGGAGACATCCAAAACATGCAGTGTTGGTGGTCCTCCCGGAACGTGGTTGAGAAACACTGGTCTACAGCTTCAGAATTACATTAATAGTTGTCTTATTTGTTTTATCGGTGTGATTGTTTCACTGGTGGAATTTAATAATGCTTATAATTTTTATTTAATATCTAATACGCAGTTTAAATAATTGTTTTCGTGTTTAAACTTCTGCAAAATCATGTACAAAAGAATTAAGTCGCAGTAAATAATTTTAGTAATGTATTTAATTCAGTAAGATTCCCAAACTTGTAGCCATACAGTGTGAAACCCTGCTGTAGGGACAGTCATTTATTGATTAATTTTCCTTTAGCTTAGTCCCTTTATTCATCAGGGGTCGCCACAGTGGAATGAACCACCAACCTATTTAGCATATTTTTTACACAAATGCCCTTCCAGCTGCAAACCAGTATGGGAAAACACCCATACACACTCATTTACACTCATACACTACAGCCATTTTAGTTTGTTCAATTCACCTACAGTATAGCGCATGTGTTTGGGCTGTAGGGGAAACCCGAGCACCCGGAGGAAACCCACAACCACACGGGGAGCAGGGTGTGAATTGTAGTTGGGTTTGGGAGGGATTGACCCCCTATTTAAGGCTTGATCGGACGTGAAGGATGTCAAAACTGTATTTTAAATAATAATTTTAATAATTAAAGTAATAGATATATATATTGACCACGCCTATAACAGTTCATATGAAGTCAATCTAGGGCCATATATACTTGCAGAATAAAAGAAAGTTTTGCAAACAAAAAATAAAGTATTGAGCAAAAAAAAAAAATTTATATATATATATATATATATATATATATATATATATATATATATATATATATATATATATATATATATATATATATATATATATATATATAGATGCAAATCTCCAAAAATTGCAAAGCAAATAACTTAAAAATAAAATAAAAAATTTAGCAGTGCAAATATACATATATTTGCTATCAAAAGAAATAAAAAAATATTTTTTTTTTCTTTTGATTGTAAATATTTTGTTTTTGCACTGCTTTATTTTTGTTTTTGCTAGAAAAAACGTTTTTTATTTCTCAAAAATTAATTTTCGCTTTGCTATATTTGGAGATTTGCATTTATTAATTTATTTTTTTGCTCAATACTTATTTTTTGTTTGCAAAACCTTTTATTTTGCAAGTATATATGGCTCTAGACTGACTCCATAGGTTCATACCATTGTAAATGTATAACCATTATATATGTATAACGCTCCAAAAATAAAGTGTAATAACATTATATGCAGTTGTAGTCAAAATTATTAGCCCCCATTTTTAAATGTTTCCCAAATTATGTTTAACAGAGCAAGGAAATTGTCACAGTGTGTCTGATGATATTTTTTTCTTCTGGTCCCATTTGTTTTATTTTGGCTAGAATAAAAGCAGTTTTTTATTTAAAAAAAACATTTTAAGGTCAAAACTATTAGCCCCTTTAAGCTATATTTTTTATCTATATTCTACAGAACAAACCATCGTTATACAATAACTTGCCTAATTACCCTAACCTACCTAGTTAACATAATTAACCCAGATAAGCCTTTAAATGTCACTTTAAGCTGTATAAAAATCTAGTAAAATAAAATTTACTGTCATCAAGGCAAAGATAAAATAAATCAGTTATTAGAAATGAGTTTTTAAAACTATTATGTTTAGAAAAATGTGTTGAACAAATCTTCTCTCTGTTAAACAGAAATTGGGGAAAAAATAAACAGGGGGGCTAATAATTATGACTTAAACTGTATATTTAACGGTCCTATAAGTCTATGCAAGAATAGTCATTTAAAGTCTGAAACCAGCAGATTTACAGCACCGTAAGAGTTCACACGATTGATTTCTCTTAAAATAGGTGTTTGTTTCTACATAAAGCCTAAATTTAAAGTCAAATTAGATGCATAATTTGACCTAGAGTAATCTGAAAATAGCTAATCAGGTCAGAATAGACTAAATAGCCCATCCCACAAACCACTGAAAACTTAAATACATTTTATTAATAAATTAGATGTAATTTAAATAAATTCATAAATTTGATTCACTGAAGCATGTATTACACAAACTATCATTACCGAAAATATTATAATATAGCTGGGTCAGATGGTGTTTCTGTGTGGAGTTTGCATGTTCTCCCAATGTTTGCATGGGTTTGCTCCAGGTGCTTCGGTTTCCCCCAGTCCAAAGACATGCGGTACAGGTGAATTGGGTAACTAAATTGTCCATAGTGTATGAGTGTGAATGAGAGTGTATGGATGTTTCCCAGTGATGGTGGGTTGCACCTGGAAGGGCATCCGCTGCTTAAAAACATATGCTGGACAAGTTGGCGGTTCATTCCGCTGTGGCGACCCCCTGATTAATAAAGGGACTGAGCCGAAAAAGACAATGAATGAATGAATGTTTAAGAGCTTGTTAGATTACCACTGAATTAAAGTTCACGTCTGACGTGCTGCTTCGATTTGTACCGCCAAATGTCACAAGGAACACTTAGCAGAAGAAAACTGCAGTTCAAATGACAGTATAATGGCTGTATAATCGATCTGCTGGTGAAAATGTCCAGAAATCGACATCATGTGTCTGCTGTTTGTGCATGTAAGTGAGTGAGGCCGACAGAAAGAAGGAAAGAGAATCAGAACTGGATGCTTTACTCCCCTTCAGATAAAGTGTTTTCTTTGTTTGTAGAAAACTAAATATGATAGTATAATATTTGACTCCGTGGCTCAGTGGTTAGACTCGAGTCCCAGCTGGGCCAGTTGCCATTTGTGTGTGGAGTTTGCATGTTCTGCCCATGTTGTGGTTTCTACTGGGTGCTCCGTTATTCCTCCGTTTTTCCTTCCTTTTAACAAACTAAATTGGCTGCAGTGTATGTGTGTGAATGAGTGTGTATGGGTGTTTCCCAGTGCTGGGTTGCCGTTGAAAGGGCATCCGCTGTGTAAAACATATGGTTTATAAGTTGGCGGTTCATTCCGCTGTGGCGACCCCCGATGAATAAAGGGACTAAGCTGAAGGAAAATGAATAAATGAATATATATTTGCCTCTTAATATTTGCAGTAGCTAGAGAACAAACACAAAGCAAAAGATGAGTGAAGAGTCTCTACAAAGCAGGATCGGGCTCCCTTGTTAGTCATTCAGGTAAAATGATCTCGTTTTTTACAAATCAATAGACCGAACCATCATTAATTCATGCTCAGTTTACTTCCCACATAGAAAAGTTGAAGCTGTGGCCCACGCAATCCGGTTTTGCTTGGCCCACATGCTGCAGTGAATTACAGTACATGACTGGACCAAGTCTGGCTTCCAAACAAGGGCCAAACATGGACCATATCTGGGTCAAGTCTCAGCCAAGTTAATAACTGTTGTATATTTACAAGGCAAACACCAAGAAATGCCATCAAGCGTGCTTTACTTCGGTATCAACAATGTGATCACAACAATACATCACATGGTTTAAATAGTAGCCAGACCGACACCCAGATCATTACAAACACACCCCTAGTAGCAAAGAATTCTGGCCCAGATTTGGCAAAAGGCTGGCACAGCAGGCATTCATCCGTCACTGGCATACAGCATGTGGGCCAAACATGGCCCGGGTTTGGCAGAGGTAGCACCGTTTTTAAGGCGGCACACAAGATTTGGGCCAGATGTAAAACGTAGTATTTGGCCCAGATGTAAAAATTCGATAAGTGGGCCATGTGAGTTTGGCCAGTCTTGACCCACATTTAAAATACACTAAAATCATTTTTGAGTAAAGAAAAAAAATCCTACCAATCAGGTCACTTTGAGAAAAAGCGTGTCCATAGTGTGCCTAAAGCGCATCACTCCATGGGTTTATCTATTTCATTGCAATCGTGACACACCAACCTATCTGGCCCAGTTCAGGCCCAGTTATGAGCTATTAACTTGACTGAGACTTGGCCCAGATATGGTCTATGTTTGGCCCTTGTCTGGAAGCCAGATTTGGTCCAGTCATGTACCGTAATTCACTGCGGCATGTGGGCCAAGCAAAACCTGATTGTGTGGGCCAGAGAAATTTTGCTATGTGGGACATTATCCCAATACACCACATCACCTCCCCCCTTAAGATAATCATTACATAAATCAAACATCACAAAATACAACATTCATTTGTTTTAACTTAGTCTCTGAAACGTTGTGGTAATTTAATAGTTAGTTTAGACCGATGTGGCCCCACTAGGCTTGAAGCCCCAGATACAGGGGGTTCAGCTGAAAGTCCAGATTCATATTCAACAGCTGGAGATTCCGTTATCCCTGAATTTTGGCTGTTTGAATCAGTCAACTCTTTTTCAGAACTGGGTTTCGCCTATGAGCTGTACGAACTTAACTGATCAGTTTCTGAGGAAGAATGATGTGGCCTCAACTGATCACCATGCTGTCTATACAGTACATAGGAGCTGATAATAGATCACACACCTTATATGATACTGGTCCAGTCTGCTCCACCACCACTCCTGACAACCATTTTGGATCTCCTCCAGCCGTATTACGCAAGAAAACCGAGTCATTAACAGCAAAGGAACTTTCCCGTGCCTTATGATCATGTAAGTGCAAATGTTGCTTCTTGCAAACAACTTCATAAATATTTGGTTTCAGGATATCCAACCTGGGACGGACATGTCTCCTCAAGAAAAGATCAGATGTTGATTGGCCAGTGGTACAATTTGTGGTGGTGCTACATAGATATATACACTAGATGTCGCCTGGCCTATTGTTGTCTATTGGACGGAATGCGTCAATAGCGCCGCCATCTTGCTACAGGGTAGCGCTCCCTTGAAATGAATGCGGGACCAATGTACAGTGGAGGACTGTGGCCATTCAAAGCCAGAGATATACACATATACACATATATCTATGATCGGGAGTTTTCCTGGATGTTAGTATGTAATTTTTTTTTTCTAATTACGAAAATTATAATTTTACATCACTTTTCTACATTGATGGATCAGTGACCGCACGGGCATTCCTGACAAAAGCTTGTGTTTGTGTGTACAGAAAAGTACTATTCACCCTCCCTGGTAAATTTGATCTAATCATGTCTTGAAACACACCTCCTCTCCTGCTTTCACTTCTCATACTGACGGAGGTAGCGATTCGTTTGTGAATGAATCCCCCGATTGACTCTTACACTAACATTAGCCGACAATAATACAGGTTTCTGGCAGTGCAGCATCTCGTTGTCATATTTCTTTTGCATTGTTTGCTGATTTTATCCAACAAAACTAGCATAAGCCGAGTATTTAGTGCGAGTTGGAGCTTCATTGTCTTATGGTGAATGTAGTAAGTGACTGTTATCATCAATAACGTTACCTGATTAGCACAAAAGTTCAGAACATACAAAAACAGAAAAAAACTTAATGTTACCTATGAAATGTTCTGCCTTTGTGCTTTGATTTCTTTGTTTGCTCGTTTCTACACCCGTAGACAGCGCTAAAGTCCTGCATCTTCTCGTAATAACACTGTCTTGACTAGTGCGGTTGAATGACATTTGTCCTGGGAGCACTGTACCAAAGTGGCGTCGCTATTGACGCATGCTTAGGGTCCCTATGCGATATCTAGTGTATATATCTATGGTGGTGCTATAGCGCAATAACAATAAAGATATTTTATCTTCAATGCATATCTGTTCGGGCAAGGCAGTGGCGCAGTAGGTAGTGCTGTCGCCTCAAAGCAAGGTCGCTGGGTCAAACCTCGGCTCAGTTGGTGTGTCTATGTGGAGTTTGCATGTTCTCCCTGCCTTCGCAGGGGTTTCCTCTGGCTGCTCCGGTTTCCCCTACAGTCCAAAGACATGCGGTACAGGTGAATTGGGTAGGCTAAATTGTCCGTAGAGTGTGTGTGTGTGAATGAGTGTGTGTGGATGTTTCCCAGCGATGGGTTGCGGCTGGAAGGGCATAAAAACTTGCTGGATAAGTTGGCGGTTCATTCTGTTGTGGCGACCCTGGATTAATAAAGGAACTAAGCCGACAAGAAAATGAATGAATGAATGCACATCTGTTCGTTAAAAAATTTTAACAAAAAAAAGCATCAGTATCGTATCGCATTAAAAAATTGTGGTATCGCCCATCCTTATCTCCCAGTCACAATGCTATAATTTGTATTTTAACTCACCAATGTGAGGCGTGTTTGGATTTAAGTCACTTTTAGATCTGCATTTGTGATTACTGCAGCACGTGGATGTGATCGTGTAGTTGTTTTTTGTAGTCTGGATCTGGTTCACGAAGGCATTGATTAGGACAGTTAGAGGGTGTTTTTAAAGTGAACTGGATGGACATCAATAATGTGGCCACTGCACAGCACTGCCCTGTGTAGGATTGCATTAACAGCCTTTAATGACCTGATTAAGCGATTTAGAGACAGACAGATGTCACTTTTAAAACTAAAAGCCTCTAAAAGCTGGTCTCTTATGTGAATTTTGTCGTTTAATTAAAATACTGTGCATTCTTAGCTTCATTATTTGATGTTTATTATGTGTACAGATTGTAAGTGAGGAGGGAGTCTATTAAAACACTGCACATCAGTATGAGGACAGAAGAGAGGAGCTGTGTGAGTGTGAAGCGTCTGTCGTTTGTATCAGCGATCTGCCGCCAGATTTGTTCCCTCTGTTGCCATAGCAACTGTCATTATGCATACTTTCATATTGTAGAGTTAGTATTCTGGAGCTGGTACTATTTGTACTTAAATTATTGTAAGCAATGGCTTACAAACGTTCTTTGCTGTTTAAATGGGACTGAAATCTGAATCAGTCTGATTTTACCTCCTGATTTCACTAATAGTATCTGGATGCAGCCTTTACGATGCAAGCTGAGACTGCATCACTCAGCGATGCAACGTCAGACTCAGTGCACTCAATGGAGTGAGTGATGTCACTGTGACGGGTAGGGTTAGGGGTGGGGTTAGGTGAGCGCATTAAAAAGCATTGGATGCTGCTCAGATTGCACTGCACCGAGTCTGCAGCCAGACCCCTCTCGATTTCACAGTTAATCTCCATCTTAGTCTGAGGTATTCACTCCTGCATATCCACCTCAGATCTATTTCAGCTTTTAAGAGTACATATGTCTGAATTTCTCTCTCTAATTTCAACCTCAATCTGATTTTACTCTTTAATCTCCAGCTGAGTCTGATTTTGCAGTCTGATTTCACTCCTTCATTTCCGGTGATTGATTCCACCTGAATTTAAAACCTAATCACCAGCTCATGTTTGAATGTGTCTGATTGTTTTTGCAGTCTGATTTTCTCTGTCTGATTTAGGTGTTTGATATTCACCTTGATGATCAATCCTTTCTTAAAGTCTGATTTCACCATTCAACCTTTTTCTAGATCTGATTTCAATGTTCAACACTAACTTGAGTCTTGACTTTCACCTCATACTTATTAAAGTTGACTGAAGTTGATGTGGGTCTGTTTTTTCCTCTCTGATTTCTTCCTAACTGTGAATTTGCAGTCTGATCTTCTCTGTCTAATTTCCACCTCAGTCTAAATTCATTGTCTTGTTTTACTGTCTGTCAGTCTGATTTTACTCCTGTTTATCTTACTTTGTCTGATTTTGCAGTCTGATCTTTGTTTACTTTACATCTTAGTTTTATTTCATTGTTTTATTTTTGGTTTTTATGTTTCTGACAGGCTGATTTCATTCCCAGATATCCACCTTAGTCTGATTTTGCAGTCTGATCTTCACTGTCTAATTTCCATCTCAGCCTAAATTGATTGTTTGTCTTGTTATACTTTCTGTCCATCTTCTTTTACATCTGTATATCAGACTTTGTCTGATTTTGCAGTCTGATCACTGTCTCATGTCCATCTTAGTCTGATTTCATTGTTTGATTTCCATTTTATTCAGATTTTACTTTCTGAGAGTCTGATTTCACTCCTTAGTCTGATTTTGCAGTGTTATCTTCTCTGTATAATTTCCATCTCAATCTAAATTAATTGCTTGTTTCGTTTTACTTTCTGTCAGTCTTATTATACTTCTGCATACCCCACTTTGTCTGATTTTGCAGTCTGATCTCTGTCTACTTTCCATCTTAGTCTGATTTCATTGTTTTATTTTTTGTTTTTATATTTTTGAAAGGCTGATTTCACTTCTTGATATCCACCTTAGTCTGATTTTGCAGTCTGATCTTTTGTCTAATTTCCATCTCAGCCTAGATTTATTGTTTACTCCTGTACATCCTGCTTTGTCTGTTCTTTGTCTACTTACCATCTTAGCGTGATTTCATCGTTTGGTTTCCACCTCAGTCTGATTTTACTTTATTTTTTATATAATTATGTTTTAGGGGTGTTCACCTTTATTGTGATAGGACAGTGCAGATTTAGAGACAGGAGAGTGGGGGGAGCAGAGATAGGGGAATGGTCGGCAAAGGACCTCGAACCGGGAATCGAATTCGGGTCGCCGTGAATACCTCAGTGCCATGTGTCGTCACACTTACCACAAGACTATTGGCCCCGACATGATTTTACTTTCTGACAAACAGATTTCACTCCCAGATATCCACCTTAGTCTGATTTTGCAGTCTGATCTTCACTGTCTACTTTCCATCTGTCTAAATTCATTGTTTGTTTTGTTTTACTTTCTGTCAGTCTGATTTTACTTCTGTATATTGCACTTTGTCTGATTTAGGAGTCTGATCTCTGTGTACTTTCCATCTTAGTCTGATTTCATTGTTTGATTTCCACTTTATTCTGAATTCACTTTCTGACAGTCTGATTTCACTCCATAGTCTGATTTTGCAGTCTGATATTCTCTGTCTAATTTCCATCCTAGTCTAAATTCATTGCTTTTGTTTTACTATCTGCCAGTCTGATTATACTTCTGTATAACCTACGTTGATAGTCTGATTTTGCAGTCTGATCTCTGCATACTTTCCATTTTTGCCTGATTTCATCATTTGATTTCCACCTCAGTCTGATTTTACTTTTCGACACGCTGATCTCACTTCCAGATATCCAGCTGCAGTCTGATTTCGCAGTCTGATCTCCTTTGTCTTCTTTTGACAAACGTTTGATATGTTTTTGCACATCCACTCCATTTGATTTCATCCCCTAATCTCCAGCTCAGTCTGATTTCGCAGTGTCATCTCTGATGAAAACGACCCATGGCGGCTTTACCCGTATGAGTTTATCTGATCTCTGATTAATGAAACAGGACAGACATTGTGTGATGATCAAGCGAAATCAAAATTCAGTCTCAGTGCATAAGACAAAGCCTCATTCTTAGGGCAATATTATTGTATTCCTCATGTTTTTAGAATGGAGTATTGGTGACGTTGTTGACGAGTGCCCTTTGTCTCCCATCAGCATCCACAATTGCAGCCTTTGTTGTCCGAATGAGAGGACTCTTTCTTCCAGACGGATGACCTCTCTTTTTCCTCACTGGCCCTGGCACTGCTGACACCAGATCAGCAGCCGTTTCTCTCTTTCTCTCTCTGTATTTATTGTCTTTCTTTATCAAAGTCCATGAGCGGGATCTCAGACTGATAAACAGTGTGTTGATGTCTGTGTCAGGACTACGAGAGCTTGATGGAATCTATGTAAGTAAAACTGACTTTAATATCAGATTTATGGAGATACTCAAATGTTTTTGCTTTTGTGTTCAGTTTTTTTTTATTCATGCAAGCTTGATTTGTGCTGAAAATATTGACGTTCGGCTTTTTCTGACAGCCATTTTCAGCAACACATCTATATTTTTCTGATACGACACACTAAACAAACCAGGACAAGTGCAAGGCACCAAGCGGTGCTGGCTTTTTATTGGTTGTTTAAATGTTTGTCTAAACAGTAAGGAGTTAAACCAGGTTGCTTGTGTAAGAAATAGGGACAGACGAGCAATCAGGATGCTTTAAAAGGATCTCCTAAAAGATCAAATTATTTATCTTTAAGATAATGTTCATTGTTATTTGAGAGTGTTTGCGGAATCTTAAGAAAGTATTTCCATAATGAATGATATATTTTTGCATCATTTTCATGACTCAAATGTCGTTTGTTTATTTATGTGATGCTTTTTCTTTTATGTGTTAAATTACTATTAAAACACTTAAATAAATACTGCATAAATGCTTATTTAAAACAAAACTGCTACAAAATTTAATGCAAATGTTATTTTGCAACCTAAAAAATTTCTAGTGTATTTTCCTTTTAGTTTTATTAGAAGATAATGAACACACTAGTATCTTATATAAATAAAAATATGTATACTAAATTCATATAGTGCAACAAATCATCTTTTCCTTCTTCTGTTTATACTGTTAATACCTGTTAATACTGTATAAGATTAGTAGAACACTACTAGAACACAACGTTTTTAATAAAAAAAATTATATATATATATAATTTTTTTCATTTTTAAAAAATTTATATGTATATATGTGTGTGTGCAATATCAATATTGGCTCAAGGCCGCATGCTGAATGCCTTAGTGTTCCACCAGTGACGATATACAGCCATCTCACACTGCTACTTGCATCATATTGCATTTATACAACAGTTCAACTACATAACCTTGTGTATAAAACAGAGAATCAAACACAGAGAGTCTCAAAAACTCTTTTGTCCAAGGAGCTACTTTCTTCCACCATTCATTCACATCTGCAGCTGACGTCAGAACAGCAGAAACCATTGCTCATTCACTAACGTCACTTTAGAGCTACTATTTTAATTATTCTCTAGCACAGAGGTGCCCAAACTCGGTCCTGGAGGGCCGTTGTCCTGGAAAGTTTAGCTCCAACCCTAATCAAACACACCCGAACAAGCTAATTAAGGTCTTACTAGGTATACTTGAAACATCCAGGCAGGTGTGTTGAAGCAAGTTGGAGGTAAACCCTGCAGGACACCTGCCCTCCAGGACTGAGTTTGGGCACCCCTGCTCTTGCAAAGTATCTAAAGTGAAGACAAAACAGGTGATTTTGCTCACATTTTAAGATTTTAAGGCTGAAAGGCATGAGATGCCATCAGTCTACAGAAATTTCTCAGTAACATTATTTCTCTGTTGCAATCAGGAGATCACTATAATTAACCCTGAAAAAGCCAGAGCAACGTAAACACCAGCAGATTACTATGGTATAAATACAGCACTACAACATACAAAAGAGAGAGATCAACTTAGAAAGTCTCTTACCTGTTTAATAATGATTTGATCAGCTGTAGTTTGAAATGCTTTCAGAGTTTTTGTTCCCTAAGGACTTATTATTTGGGGTGTCAAAATTAATTGTTTTTTCGGTGCACCGCGATGCAGACGCGGACAATTTGGTATTGGCTCAGTAATAATCATAACCGGTTATTATGTACTGACATCATTTATCTCCTATGCGCTCTGTCGAGAGGGAGGTGAGCGCGAGTATTTACAACACTCAGGAGCCAACTCAGGGCCGGCCCGTGGCATAGACAGTATAGGCAAATGCTGAGGGTGCTGTACATCCAGGGGGGCGCCAGAAATGAGCACGGTTAAGTTGGTTTTGTTTTCGATATTCCTGACACGTTCAGTTATAGACGGCAATAACTCAAAAACTTCTAAATAAGATCTAAAGTGTGTTTCCTACAAAAAGACAAAGCTGGTTCACGGCTGCCTTTTTTTTGTTTTTTTTTGCTCGACATTACGACCACTGCTCCCTTTAAGCCCTCACAATATGTGTTAAGCCGGGAGAGATCTTGCTGAGCAAAGCTATCAGTAAGGGATCGTGGGAATAGTGCTATTTTTTGTTTTTGTTTTGTTTTTGTTTTTTTTGCTCCGCTCAGCGTGACCTCTCCTGGCTAAACGCATATTGCGAGGGCTTAAATATGGGTGTTTGTGTGTGTTTGTTTTTTGGTGCTGTCTATGTTTGTGTATGTTTGTGAATGAGAGACAGTGTGGTGCTGTGTGTTTATACAGCTTGTTATAGCCTCACCCCAAAATATAACACTGCGTATGGAAAGCATCGTCAATGCACCGTGATGTACCGGGATATCGAATTGAACCGTATTGATGGCATGACAATCATAATCGAACCGAACCGTGAGACCAGTTTTAGATTCACACCTCTACTTATTATGCAGTATCTGCCGCCATCTTGTGGCGTAACATCAACCATCTTTGCTCTGCTCATTCTGACAGGCTGATGGCCGCGAACACGGTGAATCAGAAAATATAAATATTTAAAATAGGCACAATCCTTATAAACAAACTGCATAGTTCAAATCTAAACAACTACATGAAAAAGAGCCTCATGAAAAAGCCTCAAAAGTACGTTATGTTGTCCAACAGCTGCAATACTTGACAAGCTGTAGTGAGTTTATTGATCTGCTGTCACTGTATGTGGGCGGAAGAATACACAAGGGTTAGGAGGCTGTACAAGTGCTGATATTACGGGATTATCGCACAGCTATCAGCCAATCAGAATCGAGAACCAGACAGAACTGTTGTGAAAATAATATATTCACACAAATCGATTAATCAACACATTGATTTTTAATATATATACACAACACAAATCGATTAAGTGATCTTAACTGTTTTTTTAATTAAGTGGATTAAACATACAAGTTGTCCAAAAAAATCATTGTAGTTTGATTAAGCATTCACACACACACACACACACACACACACACACACACACACACACACACACACACACACACACACACACACACACACACACACACACACATAACTTAATCTAACAATTTATCTAAACTAATCTAACAAATATTTAAATCTAAAGGATTTCTGTTCATTCTCATCAGTCATGCATTCATTATAAGTTATGATATTGAAATTTGTTTCATATTTAATGTGTTATGTTGCAGTTCGCTGGTTTAAGAGCAGATAAACTAACTTCACCTCCATTCAGTGGTTTAATTAGACTCCAGTCTGAATCCCTGCCGGCGCTCATTATTTTGCAACGTACTGAGACACACAATGCTCTGACCTAAATCTCACTCAAATTATTGATTGTGTGTGTGTGTGTGTGCGTGTATGTGTGTGTGTTTAGAGCTGCTCTGTTTCTGAGCTCTCTGATTGTCCACCTTCCTGTTTGATGCAGTGTGTCTAAAATCCTAGACAGAATGAGCTAGCAAGTGAACAAATGTTTTGCTCAGGGATTGTTTGGAATTATTTTCATGGATGAAACAATGACATTGAAAGACCAAACTATATTTAAAATATGTCACTCATTATTGATTTATTGTTGATCGGACTTATATAAAATCACTAACACATTTGCTCTTTGATCATTTGAAGTTTAATCTGCATTCACTCGATTATTTTCTTACTGAGAGAGAGTCTTTGTCTTGTTTGTAGTCTAAATATCTAAAACATCTCAAATCAAAAAGCATTTTACAGACAAGTATACATTTTTTCTTGTTTTTAATGTCAACATTAAGTGGAATTTTCTTTACAAGGCCATTGGGGTAGGCAAAATAATTGTTTTGGGGTAGAAATAAGATTGTTTGCTTACCCCTATTGGCTGATTGTTTTACTTCTTTACTTTTTTTATTTTACTACTTTACTTTTAAAGGGCACCATATGATGAAAATCCTCTTTTGTAAGCTATTTGGACAGAACTGTGAGCAAGCATAGTGTGTTCACAGTCATATTGGGGTGACAGAAACACAATGAGTCTGTTTTTTGAAATTTCCTCACGTTAAAATCGAATCCAAATCCCTCCCTATTTTAAAACAGACCGCAACATGACCGAAACTCTTACTTGCCTGGAAGAGCTTGATTAGCTTGCCCGGGTGTTTCTGATTGAAGTTGGAACTAAACATTGCAGGACACCGGCCCTTTTAGGACCTAGTCTGGACATAGTAGATATAAACTCGGCCCTTGCATAAACACCCAGATTAACACACGCAGATAAAACTTGATCCTCGCATAAACACCTAAATTTGTACAATTTGTTTGTAAGGCTAAATACAAATAAAAAGTGAACATTGTTTTTTTGTACTGTGTATATATATATATTGTGCTGTAGGGTGATATGGCTGTAAAACAAATGAGTTTAGCTGTATTTTTTTATTTGCTGTTTTTTATGCTGTTGTCTTTACCTTTGGTCAACTTTTGTTAACTTAAAGTGCATCATAAATAAAGTTGGTTTTTGACTCTAAGGGCTCTATTTTGTCTGTCTATGCACAAAGCACAGGGTGCAAACGCTTTAAAGGCGTGTCAGAATCCACTTTTGCTAATATAAGTATGGAAAATCCGCTTTGCGTCGTGGCGCATGATCTAAAAGGGTTGAGCTTATTTTCTTAATTAGTTATAGGTGTGTTTTGTGAATAATACAATCAGAGTTTCATCTCCTATTCCCTTTAAGAGCCAGTTGCATCGCGCCATGATGCATTTGCTATTTACATGACATAAATTAAGTGTAAGTGGAAAAACTGAGTAATTCACTAGCAAGAAAACAGTTAAACAGAGCATCTACAGCGCGAGAATGAGAGATAAATGATCTACTTTCACTTTCGCTCTCGTGGATTGGGAAACCTTTACGCACAGACATCAATGAGCCTATAAATAATTAATTTAGTTTGTTAAGCACAAAGATTTGTTTCAATACTATTTCTAAATTCAGTTCTATTTTCCAGCAAACGAATAAATGATCAATAATAACGAAGTGTGCTCTAACGAAGTGTGAGTTATATCCTAAAACACATGCTGTGCCCCCCATACGGTCTAAAACCTGACAGGTGGGCAAATCTAAGCTTGGTTTTAATAAAACAAATATAAATATGGATATAATAAATAATACTGCTAATAATAATAACATTATACAAAAACAAATCGTTATGAATGAACTGAAAAAGCCTCCCGAGATGAAGAAGGCATGAAGGCAGTGGTTTTTAAATTTGTGTAGGCTAGAAAATAATATGTTTTGTAATATTTTAAACTTTTATATTTATATCCTATATATATATCCTTATTATATCCTATATTTATCCTTAATATTTTAATTATTTTTCATATATAAAGATATTTGTGTTTTGCTCTACATCTTGTGTGTATTAAGCAGTGTGTAAGCGAGGAGCACAACTAACACGCTCTGCGCTGGACAATAGACCGGCTTTGTTCTGGTCTACTGAAAAATCTATTATAGTTTCTCAAAATAGCAACGCGCCAGCAATGCGCCACAGAACGCCTTCCATTTTAGATCAGAACGCCTATGGGCGCACATATGAGCGCAAATGCATTTGCTATTTAAACAGCGTAGCGCAATACGTCAAATCGACTCTTGCGCCAAGCTGAAACTAGCGAACAACAATTGCGTCACGCCTTGCGCCACATTGCGCCGCCGCCGGGTGTATGATAGGGCCCTAAATGTGATTGTGACTTGTATATTTCAGTTCCTGTTGGATGTGCTGAGAGATCCTGGTGTTATGAAGAAAGAGGGATAAACAGCAGAGAGCTGCTTAATGCACGGAAACTGAAAAAACATCTCTATCCCACATCTGCTGCAGGAGTATCTGTTGAAGATGTGAAACTGAAGACACAAACACTCGAACACTTCTCAAGAGGCCAGAGATTGTGAGCATGCATTTGATTTGTTTGGTATTTTCAAATATTTATTTGCTTAGAAGTCAAATTATAGAGCTTATGCTGACCTATTTTCTGTGAAATAACTTTTTTTTTTTTATCCTCTTAAGACCCAAGGTGTTTTTTACATGCATTTTTTATTTCTCTTTGCTATTTGGGCTTATTGGAACCTAATTAGAATAAAAACCTTAGTATTATCTTTTGATATGATGTAGTTTTAGAGAAAAATTATGTCTATATATGTGAACTTGTGATCTGAATTTACATAAAAAACTTTTTCCCGAATTTTTTTAATGCAAATTTAACATATAATTCTTTTTCTTTATTATTTGTTTTGACTATCAGAGTGTAAAAACAACATTTTTTTCCAATTTTGGACAGTTAAAAATAGGGTTTGAGACATTTCATATGCTGCAAAACAGTTACAGGATTACACTGTATGTCTGTAACAAAATATAAAACATTTAAAGTATTTTAAATAGAGACTTAAGAGCTAAAATGTGCTGTCCACGTTGACACTCAGGCCCTAGGAATATACTGTACAGACAGTTTGGTGTAAATTCTATAAATCATGTTGTACATTGCAGGGATGAGTTTGATTTAAGATTTTGGACATGCACAGTTTAGATTAAAGTTGTGTTTTGATTTAGGGTCAGTTAATTAACTTGCTTTGATGTCTCTAAAAATACCACTCACAAATGATGCTGTATAACTCTGAATCGGACCCTTTTAGGCTTTGATCCTAATTGTACCATTTTGGTGACTGTCTCTTTAAATTCAAATGAGATTGTACTCTTTTCAAAAAAGGGCGGAGCTACAAATGCCTGTGCATCAATATTAGTGGCAGTTTCAAAAACAAGACTAACATCCTATGCAAATGAGGGAGAGATGGTCACTAATGGGCGGGGCTTTTCTCCTCTGATGCAAGTGCAAAGGGAGAATCAGGGTATTTCTGCAGACTGTTCTGATAAAGTCTGAATATAAAACTAGAATTAAGAATTTGTTACAATTGGAAACTGGTTATATTCACAGACTGTTGCCACACAACTGTGTTACAAGTGGTTTTTGCATAATAGGTCCCCTTAAAAACATCTTTATTCATGCCCCGTTTAAACTAATGTGTTTTAGTTTGAAAACGCATAAGTTTTGCTATGGTTACGCCATCCTTCCACACTATGCCGGAGTTTTCGAGCGCTGAAAACGGAGCATTTTGGAAACGCTGGAGAGGCCGTTTTCATTCTAAAACACTTCTGCTCCATCTCAGTGTGGATGGGGGGAAAACGATGACATCTGAAAACGGAGGCGGGGCTGCAGACATTCGCTACCTGATTGGGGCTTTTTTGTCATTTGTATCCTTCCCTCGTTCATCAAACCCCTGTCACATGACTATAACACATGGCTTTAACGCTACCAGAAGACAGCAGACCAGCCTTCAATGTAAACAACATGGGCACAGAAATGGGAGCTTTGTTTGCACTATTGTCTGTTTTAGGCGCCATTGTGCAGTTATTCATTTGTTACATTTAGTAACAACCCGACCTCGTCGTCTGTCCACAAAAATATTTCTCTTGCTTTTCTTTGCCATCGCGTTCATTGTTCAAGCGGCATTTGTTGACTAACAATAACCAAAGACACATGCTTCCTGTTTATACTAGAACGCGCATGCCCAGAGTGCGCGAATGGTCACGTGATATATGTTTTTGGTGGCGTTGTGTGGACAGAGATATGTTCAGAAATGCTAGGTGAAATGCTAGTGAGCAAACGCCGAAATCTAAAATGCAGTTTTAAAACTAAAACGCACTAGTGTAAACGGGGCCTCATTGTTCATTGTTTAGTTTTTTTTTTACAGCATTTCAAAACACATTTTAACTTTTATTGTTGCATTTTCACAACCAAAGGTTCAATTAATATCGTCTTTATTGCCACAGATAAAAGACATGCCGAAGAGAAAGGATGTCCTGGCACTCATTTTAATTGTATTACCGTGGACTTTACTCATCACGCTTTGGCATCAACGTGCTGGAAATCCACTTCTGCCGATACCTAGAGGTAAATACTAAAATTGCAAATCAGTCATGCTAATCATAAAAACTATCTCACTAGCTATGTTTCCATCCACCTATTTTTATGCGCATTTTGCATATGCGCTTAAAAAAATGGTTGATGGAAACGCCATGATGCGCATAGATTTTGAAAATGTGCATAAAAAACTTATGCATGTGATTTTGTGATAAGAGACCATGTGATGATGAAATGTGCGTAAATAAACAAACCAGCAGGCTGAGCACACTGCAAAGCATCTGAAATGTTGTTTTGGTCATTCTAAAACACCTTACCGTTTAAGTATTAGTGTTATTATATTATTAATGACCTCCAGAATCAAGAGCGTTTGTGCTCCGCATCTGACACTTTCAAACGCCACCACGCGTTCACTGCGTGTCAGGATTACCTTCTGAGGTGCAAGTGCTTTATTAGATGAAGAAAAGATTGACGCAGCTTCTCCTACTGCAGCAAATTCCGTTTTTTACTGTTGATATTTGGCGCCAGTTAATCAGGAAGTGCCGATTTTGTTCGCTTTGACTCGCTGGATGGAAACGCTGCTTTATTCGCACGTCTTTCATGCCATAATCCAGTTTTGCGCAAAAAGCTCATCCGCATTTTTGGATGGAAACATAGCTACTGACCTTCAGATCAAGACTAAAAATGACACATTGTCTAATTGTTGTCGTCCTGTGGTCTCATGTCCTTTTTACTAATAGTTGATAATGTGTCTAATCCTGGTTTATGTCTTCTCAACGACGAATCTCATTTCTATATAAGTACACTAAAGAAGAGAAAGTTGTTTGCTGGTTTTACAGCTGCAAAGAAGGCAATCATGCAAAGCTGGTTTACTCCACATGTGTGCAATAACATTTTAGTTACATAGCCTCAAAATAATGACTTGTGAAGGTACAATAGCCCAAATTAATAAGGTTAAACCTAGTAACACTGATGGATGGCAATGTTTTCTTTTAGCATTTTAGACTATATTAAGGAATGACCATGTAAAGGTTTTTTTTCTTCTTCTCTTTCCGTTTGAAAATTGTTAAAATGTCTGTTGCTCCGCCTTTCCTATTTGTTTGTTTGAATGTCTTTTATTTTGTTAATATAAAGGCAATAAAACGTTGCTCACAAAGAAAGTGACACATTGTAGCGTTTTTCAGCCATATTAGTTTCGTTTCACACCAGTCCGACAGCTCTGAACTGAACCAATTTTTGTTTCGTAATATACAGGGTGGGACATTTATATGGATACACCTTAATGAAATGGGAATAGTTGATGATTTTAACGTCCTGTTTGTGGCACATTAGTGTATGTGAGGGGGCAAACTTTTCAAGATGGGTGGTGACCATGGTGGCCTTTTTGAAGTCGGCCATCTTGGATCCGACTTTTGGTTTTTTTAATAGGAAGAGGGTCATGTGACACATCAAACTCATTGGAAAATTCACAAGAAAAACAATGGTGTGCTTGGTTTTAACATAACTATATTCTTTCATGAGTTATTTACAAGTTTCTGACCACTTATAAAATGTGTTCAATGTGCTGCCCATCGTGTTGGATTGTCAATGCAACCCTCTTCTCCTACTCTTCACACACTCTTAATGGCCACCAAGGTCACCACCCATGTTAAAAAGTTTGCCCCCTCACATATATTAATGTGCCACAAACACCTGAACTGTGCAATTAAAAAAATAGACCCTTATGACTTTTTCTTAATCAGGGGTGTCTAAACTAGGTTCTAGAGGGCCAGTGTCCTGTAGAATTTAGCTTAAACTTGCTGTAACACTTGCAAGTTGGGGGTGGAGGTTGGGTTGGGGGGTGTTGGTGATCACAAAGTGAAGGGGCACTCTTTTTCATTTGAGGGGCATGTATTCTCCAAAAGAAAAAAGGGTAGCTCACCACATACTGTTTTTAAAAGGGAAGTATGTGATTTTGGACGCATTGGCAGCTTATGTCTAAAAAGAGCTTGATTAGTTGGTGCAGGTGTGTCTAATTGCAGTTGGAGCTAAACTCTGTAGGATGGCGGCCCACCACGACCGGATTTGGGCCCCCTTGTTCTATATGTTAACCCATATGTTTTACTAAAGTAAAGGAGTCTGGATTAATTTAGGCTTGACTTCATTTTTGATATTGTGCATCCCCATATTTTGTTTTTAATGGACAGATAACAGAACCGGGACAAGTAAAGCTCACCAGAGAAGCTTTAGGCTCCAGAAGCCCTGTCTGTCGGAGAACAAGCACATCCCTGAAGTCACCCGTATGAAGTCCATCCACAGCCGCTCTCCAGCATGGAGCAACGCTTTACCAACTCTCCACATAATAACACCAACCTACAGCAGGCCGGTCCAGAAAGCAGAGCTGACCAGACTCGCCAACACTCTTCTGCATGTCCCAAACCTTCACTGGCTGCTGGTGGAGGACTCGGCACAGAAAACTCCGCTCGTGTCCCGACTTTTGGAGAACAGCAGACTCAATTACACACACTTGAATGTCGAGACGCCTCCGAACCTCAAAGTGCAACGGACGAAATTTAGAAATGCACGCATCCCTCGTGGCACCATGCAGAGGAACCTGGCTCTCCGCTGGCTGCGGGCGAACATTGGCCCACGCTTGGGACAGTCAGGAGTCGTGTATTTTGCAGATGATGATAACACGTATAGTTTGGAGCTGTTTGAGGAGGTACGGTACATTTGGTTCTCGATATATATTATCAATTTCAAATCAACATCATTTAATATCAAATATCCACTTGTTAAGTCGTGACGTATTGAATACTGTTTCCAGGTTTGGGAAACACTGCTCGAGGCTAGCTTTTAACAGCAGATGGCGTTCAGCAGATGGCGCTCTAGGCTAATTTTTACCAGCTGATGGTGCTCTAGGCTAGTTTTTAACAGCAGATGGCGCTAGGCTAGTTTTTAACATTAGATGGCGCTCTAGGCTAGTTTTTAACAGCAGATAGCGCTCTAGGCTAGTTTTTACAGCAGATGGTGCTCTAGGCTTGTTTTAAACATTAAACGGTGCTCTAGGCTAGTTTTTAACAGTAAATGGCGCTCTAGGCTAGTTTTTAACAGCAGATAGTGCTCTAGGCTAGTTTTTAACAGCAGATGGTGCTCTAGGCTTGTTTTTAACAGCAGATGGTGCTCTAGGCTTGTTTCAAACAGCAGATGGTGTTCTAGGCTTGTTTTAAACAGTAGATGGCGCTCTAGGCTAGTTTTTAAACGGCAGATGGCGCTCTAGGCTAGTTTTTACCAGCAGATGGCGCTCTAGGCTTGTTTTAAACAGCAGATGGCGCTCTAGGCTAGTTTTTAACAGCAGATGGCGCTCTAGGCTAGTTTTTAACAGCAGATGCCGCTCTAGGCTAGTTTTTCAACAGCAGCTGGCGCTCTTGGCTAGTTTTTACCAGCAGATGGTGCTCTAGGCTAGTTTTTACCAGCAGATGGTGCTCTGGGCTAGTTTTTAACAGCAGATGGTGCTCTAGGCTTGTTTTAAACAGTAGATGGCGCTCTAGGCTTGTTTCAAATGGCAGATGGTGCTCTAGGCTAGTTTTTAACAGTAGATGGCGCTCTATGCTTATTTTTACCAGCAGATGGTGCTTTAGGCTAGTTTTTAACAGCAGATGGCGCTCTAGGCTAGTTTTTAACAGCAGATGGTGCTCTAGGCTTGTTTTAAACAGTAGATGGCGCTCTAGGCTTGTTTTAAACAGTAGATGGCGCTCTAGGCTAGTTTTTAACAGCAGATGGTGCTCTAGGCTTGTTTTAAACAGCAGATGGAGCTCTAGGCTTGTTTCAAACAGCAGATGTTGCTCTAGGCTTGTTTTAAACAGTAGATGGCGCTCTAGGCTAGTTTTTAACAGCAGATGGCGCTCTAGGCTTGTTTTAAACAGCAGATGGCTCTCTAGGCTAGTTTTTAATAGCAGATGGTGCTCTAGGCTATTTTTTAACAGCAGATGGTGCTCTAGGCTATTTTTTAACAGCAGATGGTGCTCTAGGCTAGTTTTTCAACAGCAGATGGCGCTCTTGGGTAGTTTTAAACAGCAAATGGTGCTCTAGGCTAGTTTTTAAACAGCAGATGGCGCTCTTGGGTAGTTTAAAACAGCAAATGGCGCTCTAGGCTAGTTTTTAAACAGCAGATGGCGCTCTAGGCTAGTTTTTCAACAGCAGCTGGCGCTCTTGGCTAGTTTTGAACAGCAAATGGCGCTCTAGGCTATTTTTTAAACAGCACATGGCACTCTAGGCTTGTTTTAAACAGCAGATGGTGCTCTAGGCTAGTTTTTAAATGGGATATGGTACTCTATGCTTGTTTTTAACAGCGGATGGCACTCTAGTCTTGTTTTGAACAGCAGATGGTGCTCTAGTCTTGTTTTAAACAGTAGATGGCGCTCTAGGCTTGTTTTAAACAGCAGATGGTTCTCTAGGGATGTTTTAAACAGCAGATGGTGCTCTAGGATTGTTTTAAACAGCAGATGGCGCTCTACGCTAGTTTTTACCAGCACATGTCGCTCTAGGTTAGTTTTTAAACAGGAGATGGCACTTTAGGCTAGTTTATATCAGCAAACAATCTTCTATGCCAGTGTTTTTAAACCCTGTTCCTGAAGGCACACCAACAATACACATTTTTAACCTCTCGCTAATCAAAAACCTGAATCAACTCATCAGAACATAAGAAGCGACTCTAAAGGCTGAAGTTAATGGGTCAGATAAAAGAGACATCCAAAATATGAACTGTTGGTGTGCCTCCAGGAACAGGGTTGGGAAATACTGCTCTAATGTCCATGATTCTTATACCACAGATGCGCTGGACTCATAAAGCATCAGTCTGGCCAGTTGCCTTCGTCGGAGGTCTCCGGTACGAATCGCCCAAAATCAACTCTCAGGGCAAAGTGTCCGGCTGGAGGACGGTTTTTGACCCTCGCCGACCTTTCGCCATCGACATGGCTGGGTTTGCCGTGAACCTTCAACTCATCCTGAGCAAGCCACAGGCCTACTTTAAGTTAAAAGGGGTAAAAGGTGGATATCAGGAGAGCAGTCTGTTACAGGACCTGGTCACCCTCAGTGACCTGGAGCCCAAAGCTGATAACTGCACAAAGGTGAGACCTAAAAATTAATCTTCATAACTTCTACAAGCATTTTTGGGGGGACATTGCATGCTGTCAGAAATAAAGGCATGAGTGTTTGTTAGGTACTAATAGAAAATAGGTTTTGTATAGTACCCTAATTAGCAATTTACTCCACATCACTTGAACTAATGATTCATGAATTGGAGACTCATTTTGACCAGACCATTTGAACTAGAGATTTGTGAAGTGTAGGCTGACTCTGAACTAATCATTTGAGCTAGTGATTCATAAACCAGAGAATCACTCTGATGTAATCATTTGAACTAGTGATTCGTGAACTAAAGACTCACTCTGAACTAATTATTTGAACTAGTGATTTGTGAATCAGAGATTCACTCTGAATGAATCATTTGAATTAGTGATTTGTGAACAAGAGACTCACTCTAAACTAATGATTTGTGAATCAGAGACTCGCTCTGAATGAATCATTTGAAGTAGTGATTTGTGAACCAGAGACTTACTCTGAACGAATCATTTGAACTTGTGATTCATGAACCGGAGAATCACACTGATTAAATCATTTGAACTAGTGATTTGTGAATCAGAGACTCACACTGAACAAATCATTTGAACTAGTGATTTGCGAATCAGAGACTCACACTGAACGAATCATTTGAATTAGTGATTAGTGAATGAGAGACTCACCCCAAACGAATCATTTAAAGTAGTGATTCATGAACCAGAGACTTACTCTGACTAATCATTTGAACTAGTGATTCATGAACTGGAGACTCACTCTGAATTAATCATTTAAACTAGTGATTCGTGAACCAGAGACTCACTCTGAACTAATCATTTGAACTAGTGATTCGTGAACTGGAGACTTACTCTGAATGAATCATTTAAACTAGTGATTCATGAACCTGAGACTCACTCTAAACCACAGGTGTCAAACTCAGTTCCAAAAGGGCCGCAGCTCTGCACAGTTTAGTTCCAACCCTAATTAAACACACCTGATCAGACTAATTGAGTCCTTCAGGCTTGTTTGAAACCTACAGGTAAGTGTGTTGGAGCAGGGTTGGAACTAGACTGTGCAGGGCTTCGGCCCTCCAGGAATTGAGTTTGACACCCCTGCTCTAAACTAATCATTTGAACTAATGATTCATGAACTGAAGACTTACTCTAAACGAATCATTTGAACTAGCGATTCATCAACCAGAGACTCACTCTGAGCAAATCATTTGAACTAGTGATTCGTGAACTCTTAACTTGCTTTGACCAGATCATTTGAACTCATTTCGTCTTTATTTTCAGGTTCTGGTTTGGCACACTCGAACAGAAAGACCCTTGCTAGTGAATGAAGGAAAAAAAGGATTCACAGATGGCAGGGTGGAAGTATGATGAACTGTTTCTATGTTGTTTTTAAGCAGAATAATACAGAGTATCATGACAAATCCTGATTATTTATTGCACTGAATTTAAAGTGTCCGGCTGGAAACATTGAGAACAACTCCTTACGAAGTACAATTCCTGCAGTCAAAAGCCTTGTATCTTTATAACATCTTCATTTATCCCAGAAAAATGCAATGGAGAACAGTCATTCTCATGGAGGGAAATAACTACTCGACCTCTGCATTGAATCACAGTCTGGTCTGAGTCAGCACTAACTGCCAGAAGACACAGTTAGTCTACTGATATTTGGCAGTCAGATTGGCATCAGCTCTGTTTTTGTTAGCTTCACAATATAATTCTGTCCACTCGGATGATCTCAGACCAGTTTGACATTTCAGTTTGACAATTTTAGCTAAGCACATGTTTCTCTGAGAGTTCAGCGGTTATGGATATACAAAGTAGTACACAAGGACACATTAATAAACTGTTTTACTCCAGTCAAAGTATTAGGTAGGTCTGTTAATTTTTTTAATCTACTATTTAAAATAGTACTGATTGATGAATGTTTATTTGTTTTGTAAAACTGACAGCTACTGTTGAAAATTCAAGTGCGCAAACAAGTAAAAATATATCATATAGCAAAACAAATATTCAAAATAAAATGTGTGTAAATGTGTGCTGGCAAATCTAAACAGACAATATTAAAACAGATTGCTACTGAGCAAATTAGGGTAACAGTATTGGAAGAACGCTATGCAAACATGTTAGTTTTAATATCTATTTATTTCTACAGAAACAGGAGGATGCGTGGGCCATTGGTAGATTTCGGAGACCAAAGACTCACTCTGAGCTAATCATTTGAACTAGTGATTCATGAACTGGAGACTCACTCTGAGCTAATCATTTGAACTAGTGATTCATGAACTGGAGACTCACTCTGAGCTAATCATTTGAACTAGTGATTCATGAACTGGAGACTCACTCTGAGCTAATCATTTGAACTAGTGATTCATGAACCAGAGACTTAAGCTGCGTCCCAAATCACATACTTATGCACTATTCTACGCCATTTTGTGGTACAAATAGTGTAAGTAGTGCGTTCACACTGAAAACTCTAAAAATAATAAGTGCACTTTAATTACCCGGATGATGCACTTATTCAGCCGCTAAAATGAAGAGTGTAATGATGGACACTTCACGCACTCAACGACCGCAGGTTTGCTCACGTAGCAGAAGGGGCGGAGCTATCAGACGCACATGTTGAATAACTTTATTTATTTTGGATTGTGAAAGCAAAATTCTCCTACGAGAGTGATTTTAGCGCCTCCCGATGGTGAGTGCGGCAATACTCGCGGCAGGTATTATTTGATAATTCGGTCGTTTATTTCACTGATTTGGCAACCGTCAAACATCATCAGGGAAACGGTTTGAATTTCCGCTTAGTAAAAAAACATTAGTGTGCCATTTGGGACGACACTACATACATGTACTATCCTGTTGAGTGTGTAAGTGCATAAGTACATAGTGCATGAGTGCATAGTGTGCCATTTGGGACACAGGTTTACTCTGAACTACTAGTAATTTGTGAACTGGAGACTCACTCTGAACTAGTAATTCGTAAACTCAAGACTCGCTCTGAACTAGTGATTTGTGAACCCGAGACTAATTCTGAACTAGTGATTCGTGAACCAAAGTCTCACTCTGAACTAGTGATTCATGAACCAGAGACTTACTCTGAACTACTAGTGATTCGTGAACCGGAGACTCACTCTGAACTACTAGTGATTCGTGTACCTGAGACACACTCTGAACTAATCATTTGAACTAGTGATTCATGAACCAGAGACTTACTCTGAACTACAAGTGATTCGTGAACCAGAGACTTACTCTGAACTAGTGATTCATGAACCGGAGACTTACTCTGAACTTCAAGTGATTCGTGAACCGGAGACTTACTCTGAACTAATGAATCGTGAACCAGAGACTCACTCTGAACGAATCATTTGAACTAGTGATTCGTGAACCAGAGACTCACTCTGAACGAATCATTTGAACTAGTGATTTATGAACTGGAGACTCACTCTGAATGAATCATTTGAACTAGTGATTCATAAACCGGGGACTCACTCTGAATGAATCATTTGAACTAGTGATTTGTGAAATGGAGACTCACTCTGAATCATTTTAACCAGTGATTCGTAAACTGGAGACTCAAGCTGCGTCCCAAATGGCACACTATACACTATGCACTCATGCACTATGTACTTATGCACTTACACACTCAACAGGATAGTATATGTATGTAGTGTTGTCCCAAATGGCACACTAATGTTTTTTTACTAAGCGGAAATTCAAACCGTTTCCCTGATGACGTTTGACGGTTGCCAAATCAGTGAAATAAACAACCGAATTATCAAGTAATACCTGCCGTGAGTATTGCCGCATTAACCATCGGGAGGCGCTATAATCACTCTCATAGTAGAACTTTGCTTTTACCATCCAAAATAAATAAAGTTATCCAACATGTGCGTCCGATAGCTCCGCCCCTTCCGCTACGTAAGCAAACCTGCGGTCGTTGAGTGCGTGAAGTGTCCATCATTCCACACTTCATTTAACCGGCTGAATGAGTGCATCATCCGGGTAATTAAAGTGCACTTAATGTTTTTAGAGTTTTCAGTGTGAACACACTACTTACACTATTTATACTACAAAATGGCGAAGAATAGTGCATAAGTATGCGATTTGGGACGCAGCTTCACTTTGACCTAATCATTGGAACTAGTGATTCATGAACCGAAGACTCACTCTGAACTACTTGTGATTCGTAAACTGAGGACTGACTCTAAACTAATCATTTGAACTAGTGATTCATAAATATGCAACTTGCTCAGTTACTGCCCATCAGTGTGATGTTTTGTTTGGCAGATGAAATCTTTAGGCAAAATGACTGTAGCACAAACAAGCGACACGTTTAATTTGCACAAACTTCACACCATAAATACAGTCATTTGACATAAATCAATTTAAACATTTTTTTATTCTCAGAAGGCAAAACAAAATGATAAGGCTGGTCTCTACAGTAGACACTCTAATATTAATATAAATAGCCAGCGCAGCTGTCAAAGTGTTCATATAAAAATACATCAAAATGTACCTCCACCACTACTTCCAGCAAGAAACAGTATGAGCGACAATCAAAACAATACAATGCTAACAAACGCAAACACACTCACTACTGTTAAAACGAGCATTTGAATGCAAAACTACACACACGGTCAACTGCTAGACTGCACTTTGTCATAAAAATGTTTTAAAAATGTGTTTAAAAAGGCATGGAATGTGAAGCCATGTTATTAATACAAGTTTGCTATGACTGCTTTAACAATTTATCTGTGCCATTTATTTTATTGTTGTGTTTCTTTTATGGCCACTTTAATAGAGTTTATGCCTGCGAGTGTACAGTCCTGTGCCTGCATAAGATGATTTGCATAAAATGTGTTCATTAAATGTCAACCGTCATTCCCAGATCAGGAGAATCTTCGAATTGTGTTTTTAAATCCGCTTCTGCTTCTTCGAACACAATCACCTATTGAAGAGCAATAAAACAACATCAGATCCTCCCGAATCTGCCTGCATTTGTTAATGGTCCAAATATTCTGTTCAACATTCCAAATAACGTCACACAGATTCAGCTCTGATTGAAGAAATAATGTGGAGTTTGCATGTTCTCCCTGCGTTCGCATGGGTTTTCTCCGGGTGCTCCGGTTTCCCCCACAAGTCCAAAGACATGCGGTGAATTGGGTAAGCTAAAGGCCAGTCAAAAATGATTAGCAAAATTTACGAAAGGATTCGGATTAGTCTTAAAGCCTTCTGCGATTGATTATTTTTACAATTTATTATGAAATAGCTGTCAAAATAGGACAAATGTATGTAGCTCATGTATGGGACAAATTCTAGATCTTTGCGAGTGGGGGGAGGTCTGTTAAACTACTCAAATCCCCCCTGGTTATTGGCCTGTATTATTTCTAATAATTCTTTTTAAGATTTATTTTTGGTAGTTTTGCCCCTATTTGACAGGAAGTGATGTAGGAAAGAGAGGGGGGTAGGATCAGAAAAGGTCCATGAGCCGGGATTCGAACTCGGGATGCCGGGAGCCCTGCTGCATCATATGTCAATGCACTCACTAGAGGTCTGCATTCCCACGGCTGTACCATGGGAGCCTTGAGACCCAACCAGATTTCTTGCGGCGCAGGAATAAATTTTAGCTGTCGGTAACTCTGGTGTAAATTAAACGGCAGCGGGAGGGCTAACAATATAGCACTCCCGAATCCCGACATATCTGTGATTTCCTCATTTTCAAGCATTCAGCATCAAGCATTCAACATTACGATCTGCATTTTCCCTTCGCGTTTGATGTAAGCCCAGCATTAGAATGTTCGTAAGCCAATCAGAATCAAGCATTCGACATTACGATCTGCATTTTCCCTTCGCGTTTGGTGTAAACCCGGCATTAGAATGTTCATTAGCCAATCAGAGTCAAGCATTCAACATTACGATCCACATTTTCCGTTCGCGTTTGATGTAAGCCCAGCATTAGAATGTTCGTAAGCCAATCAGAATCAAGCATTCGACATTACGATCTGCATTTTCCCTTCGCGTTTAGTGTAAACCCAGCATTAGAATGTTCATTAGCCAATCAGAATCAAGCATTCAACATTACGATCTGCATTTTCCCTTCGCGTTTAGTGTAAACCCGACATTAGAATGTTCATTAGCCAATCAGAATCAAGCATTCAACATTACCATCTGGATTTTCCCTTTGCGTTTGGTGTAAACCCAGCATTAGAATGTTCATTAGCCAATCAGAATCAAGCATTCGACATTACGATCTGCATTTTCCCTTCGCGTTTGGTGTAAACCCAGCATTAGAATGTTCATTAGCCAATCAGAATCAAGCATTCGACATTACGATCTGCATTTTCCCTTCGCGTTTGGTGTAAACCCAGCATTAGAATGTTCATTAGCCAATCAGAATCAAGCATTCAACATTACGATCTGCATTTTCCCTTCGTGTTTAGTGTAAACCCAGCATTAAAATGTTCATTAGCCAATCAGCATCAAGCATTCAACATTACGATCTGCATTTTCCCTTCATGTTTAGTGTAAACCCGACATTTGAATGTTCATTAGCCAATCAGAATCAAGCATTCAACATTACCATCTGCATTTTCCCTTCGCGTTTAGTGTAAACCCGACATTAGAATGTTCATTAGCCAATCAGAATCAAGCATTCAACATTACGATCTGCATTTTCCCTTCGCGTTTAGTGTAAACCCAACATTAGAATGTTCATTAGCCAATCAGAATCAAGCATTCAACATTACGATCTGCATTTTCCCTTCGCGTTTAGTGTAAACCCAACATTAGAATGTTCATTAGCCAATCAGAATCAAGCATTCAACATTACGATCTGCATTTTCCCTTCGTGTTTAGTGTAAACCCAACATTAGAATGTTCATTAGCCAATCAGAATCAAGCATTCAACATTACGATCTGCATTTTCCCTTCATGTTTAGTGTAAACCCAGCATTAAAATGTTCATTAGCCAATCAGCATCAAGCATTCAACATTACGATCTGCATTTTCCCTTCATGTTTAGTGTAAACCCGACATTTGAATGTTCATTAGCCAATCAGAATCAAGCATTCAACATTACCATCTGGATTTTCCCTTTGTGTTTAGTGTAAACCCAGCATTAGAATGTTCATTAGCCAATCAGAATCAAGCACTCAACTTTACGATCTGCATTTTCCCTTTGCGTTGGGTGTAAACCCGGCATTAGAATGTTCCTTAGCCAATTAGAATCAAGCATTCAACATTACCATCTGCATTTTCCCTTTGTGTTTAGTGTAAAGCTGCGGTCACACTGGGCTTTTCTCCCCATAGACTTCCATTCATAACACGCGAATGCATCGGACCAGAAACGCAAGGTCATGCGTCAAGTTTCGCAGGTTGCTGCGGTGCAAAGTTCAAGCTTAGTGAACTCTGACCTGCGAAATCGCATCACATGACTGCGTGAGACCAATCGAGGATCCAAACATGACCTCTCTCTACAGAAATTTAAAACATGGAGCAAATCGCTTGCTTTTTATAATGTCTGATCATCTTGTTTAATCCCACCCCTTTTCGCAGCACCGCACGACAGAATGTCGCACACACAAGCTCTAGTGTGACCGCAGCTTAAACCCGACATTAGAATGTTCATTAGCCAATCAGAATCTTTTCTTCAAACACATAGCTTTTAGGAGCCAAAAATGCTAATTTATACAAACTGACTTGGTTCATTCCACTGTTGAGGAAGGGTCCTGGTAGAAACAGAGCTTGCTGTGGTCCAGCGTCCCAATATCTGCCAATGTTTTGCCCATTAACAAACACTACACCTTTACTCCAACCCTGTGTGACGACATAATACTGAACACATTAAACCATACCAAATTCAAGTGTTCGACTCTTGTTTAGATTCATTAGACTCACCGGAAGCTTCATGAAAGTGTCGCTGGGATATCCATTCACAAATAACCTGCCCTGGAAAAAGCCTGGGAAGCTCGGTTTGCTAGGGACAGTCTTCCAGTTCGCCCTGTACAAGCTGGAATAAAAGCTGATTTTTGAGTCTTGTGCTTTTTTAATGGTCTTTCACATCATGAGAGATTTTTTTTTTAACTCACCTGTTAATAAAGGCAGGGGTCATATCCAGACTATATATGGTGAAGTCTCTAAGTGGCGTGCGGTTTAATAAAATGTCCCCAACAATTCCTGAAAACAGGTGTAAAATGATTATGCTTATATAGAGCAGTGTTTCTCAGCCACGTTCCTGGAGGACCACCAGCTCTGCACACTTTCCTTATCTCCTTAACCAAACACAGCTGATTCAGAAACTCAGCTCATTAGCTGAGACTGAAGACCTGTAATGGGTGTGACAGACAAAGGAGACATCCAAAACATGCAGTGTCGGTGGTCCTCCAGGTATCTGGTTGAGAAACACTGATATAGAGGTTGTTTCCACCTGATATTTATGTGTTTAGATACGTGACTAAATGTGCTCCGATCTACTCGTTCTTTGAATGAACATCTCAATTCAGCGGATTGTAACAAAAATGTATGCTGGTTAGCATTTCGTTTGTTTTTTTTTTGTATTTTAGTATATAATCGGCCACTTTATTAGGTACACCTTACTAGTACCAGGTTGGACACTCGTTTGCCTTCACAACTGCCTTAATCCATCGTGTCATAGATTTCACTAGGTACTCAGAGATTTTGCTCCATATTGACATGATAGCATCACGAAGTTGCAGCAGATTTGTCGGCTGCACATCCATGATGCGAATCTCTTGTTTCACCACATCCCGAAGGTGCTCTATTGGATTGAGCTCTGGTGACTGTGGAGGCCATTTGAGTACAGTGAACTCATTGTCATGTTCAGGAAACCAGTCTGAGATGATTCGTGCTTTATGACATGGAGCGTTTTTCTGCTGGAAGTAGCAATCAGAAGATGGGTACACTGTGGTCATAAAGGGATGGACATGGTCAGCAACATTACTCGGGTAGGCTGTGGTGCTGACACGATGCTTAATTGGTACTAATGGGCCCAAAGTGTGCCAAGAAAATATCCTCTGCATCCTTAAAACACCACCAGCCTGAACCGTTGACATAAGGCCGGATGGATGCATGCTTTCATGTTGTTGACGCCAAATTCTGACCCTACCATCCGAATGTTGCAGCAGAAATCGAGACTCATCAGACCAGGCAACGCTTTTCCAATCTTCTACTGTCCAATTTTAGTGAGCCTTTGCCAATTGTAGCCTCAGTTTCCTGTGAATTGCTGCCATGCGATTGGCTGATTGGAAATTTGCGTTAACGAGCAGTTGGACAGGTATACCTAATAAAGTGGCTGGTGAGTGTATATTTTAGTCTGGTCTCCTTTTGTCAGAGTTTTGTCACGCATTTAAAATTATTTTAGTCACGTTACTAGTCAAATGGAGCGGTCCATTTTCTAAAGGGAAAAAAACATTTGTTTTATTTATTTTCGTCTTGGAATAAACACTGATTACAAGTGCACAAGACAGGCTTGTTGATTAATGCCTAGTGATATTAGTAATAGGATGGTTTATGATAAAAAACAGAATCAGTTTTCTTTTGACAGTTCAGTACCTGTGTGTACTGAATGATTCACATGTTTTTGTTGTTTATATATATATATATATATATATATATATATATATATATAGTTGAAGTCAGAATAATTAGCCCCCTTTGAATTATTTTCTTCCTTTTTAAATATTTCCAAAATGATGTTTAATAGAGCAAGGACATTTTCACAGTATGTCTGATAATATTTTATCTTCTGGAGAAAGTCTTATTTGTTTTATTTCAGCAAGAATAAAATCCGTTGTAAATTTTTTAAACAGCATTTTAGGGGCAAAATTATTAGCCCCTTTAAGCTATATTTTTTCTCCATAGTGTACAGGACAACCCATCGTTATACAATAACTTGCCTAATTACACTAACCTGCCTAGTTAGCCCAATTAACCTAGTTAAGTCTTTAAATGTCACTTTAAGCTGTATAGAAGTGTCTTGAAAAATATCTAGTCAAATATTATTTACTGTCATCATGGCAAAGATAAAATAAATCAGTTATTAGAAATTAGTTATTAAAACTATTATGATTAGAAATTTGTTGAAAAAAAATCATTCCGTTAAACAGAAATTGGGGAATAAATCAATTAGTAATCAAATCAAATAGTATTATTTGTCAATAACATTATGAATCATTTCCCAGAGATGGGTTGCGGCTGGAAGGACATCCCCTGCGTAAAAAACTTGCTGGATAAGTTGGCGGTTCATTCCGCTGTGGCGACCCCGGATTAATAAAGGGACTAAGCCGACAAGAAAATAAATGAATGAATTATGAATCTAGAATTTCAATATTTAAAAAATGTTAATAAATGTATAATTATCAAAAATCAGTGTTGTGTAAACAACAAGAGCAGTATGGAAAATATGAAGGTACTTTATTGCAGTTGTATTGTATTTTATTAACAAAAGGTGGCTGACTTGTCAATCTGCCAGCAAATTGTGCAAAACATCACTTCATTTTTTTTTTCGTTGTGTTATTCTCATGTAAATTTTTGCTTCCAAGACGTTAGAACCAGACATTTTCTTTTAGCCTCATAATTAGATGTTGCCACCATGTCGCCATCTCTTCACTGTACTGATTGTTATCAGGTTACAGAAAATAAAAGCATGTTAAAAACATCAAATCAGATAAGAGGAACCGAAAAGCAATACAATATTTACAACATTACAGAGAGGGCAGCATTTAAAGCCTTACAAGCACACGCTTACAATGCACTAATTGACAAGTAGTCGCAGGCAAATTCAACTTTACTGGCAAGGCAGCTGACCCAATCGGTCCAGTAATGAGCCCGTCTACTGTCCCAAGCATCTCTCACACTGGCCTCGGGCCATCAGGCAGTGCTTATTGTTGAGCCTTGTATATATCCATTATATCTAATAATGAATTTATATCTCGAATGTGTTTCAGAGAGCATTTAGACCCGCCCTTTTCACGATCAAATCAGAAAAAAGCGCACTGCTTAACCAGACGTAAACAGTTGTATCTGATTTCATTGAGAACCTAATCCAGGGGTCACCAAACTTGTTCCTGCAGGGCCGGTGTCCAGCAGATTTTAGCTCCAACCCTAATCAAACACACCTGAACAGGCTAATCAAGGTCTTACAAGGTATAGTTGAATCATCCAGGCAGGTGTGTTGAGGCAAGTTGGAGCTAAACACTCCAGGGACACCGGGCCCTCCAGGACAGAGATCGGTGACCCCTGATTTAATCTAATCAAAAGCATATTTGAATAGCCTAAATTGTTTTAGGCTCTGTTTATACAGGCGCCTACTTGGATGGATGAAAACACAGCTTAACGCTCAAAGCATTTCTGATCAGAAACTTATTGCACTGTACCTTTGCGCTGGTTATCCATTTCTTTACCAGAATGCACACGGCCACAGTTCTCCACCAGAAGACTCAGAGTGCGTTTCCCCTAAAGAAAAAACAAACGTCAGGTCATTTATAGAATCAAAAATGCAGTCATTTTGTGAAATTGTATTTTAATAACAATAATAACAATTTTCTATTTGAATTTACAGTCAAGCCCAAAATGAATTATACCAAAGGCAAATTCGGATTTAAAGTTACTTTTATTCAACTAGCAAGTTTTATTTTTGGTCTGGAAATGACACAGGCTTCTCCCAAAAAGATGTACAAGCATTTCTTTACAGTTGAAGTCAGAATTATTAGCCCTGCTGTGAATTTAGTTTTATTTATTTTTTTTATATTTCCCTAATGATGTTTAACAGAGCAAGGACTTTTTCACAGTATTTCCTATAATATTTTTTCTTCTGCAGAAAGTCTTATTTGTTTTATTTCAGCTACAATAAAAGCAGTTTAATTAAAAAAACAAGGTCAATATTATTAGCCCATTAAAGCTATATTGACTGTCAGGGCTTGACATTAATTTATTTGATCACCAGCCACTGTGGCTAGTAGATTTCCAACATTACTATCCGCTCGCCATTTTCACTAGCCACAATTTTCTTGTTGGGAAAATATATTTTGCATTAATTTGACTTTGACATGCTAAAATGACTTGATTTAGATGGTGTGTTACGTCCACATGCCTTCTCATTCATTTAACTTCTTGTGTGTATTGTGTATTAGCTTGCTCAGTGTGCATGAGCAAATGGGTTGTGTCACAATGCTATCAGTTTTTATGTCACGACTTTTCAGGGCTTAAAATTAAGGATTTACCAGATTTAGCTCTGATTACACCAAATAAGTATTTCATTCATTCATTAATTCATTCATTTTCTTGTCGGCTCATTCCCCCTATTAATCCGGGGTCACCACAGTGGAATGAACCGCCAACTTATCCAGCAAGTTTTTATGCAGCGGATGCCCTTCCAGCAGCAACCCATCTCTGGGAAACATCCACACACACATTCACACACACACACTCATACACTACGGACAATTTAGCCTACCCAATTCACCTGTACCGCATGTCTTTGGACTGTGGGGGAAACCAGAGCACCTGGAGGAAACCCACGCGAATGCAGGGAGAACAGGCAAACTCCACATTGGCATCCAGCGACCTTCTTGCTGTGAGGCGACAGCACTACCTGCGCCACTGCTTCGCCCCAAATAAGTATTTCTTAGCCGCAATTTTTAATGTGTAAAAACAAGGAATATATAGCTCTATGTGTGCACTTTTTAATTCAACAAAACGTACAAAAAAAACATTACATTTAAAAAAATAAAAATTACTGTCATGTATCTAAAATATGCACAGTAATGTGTCCAGAGTAAAAGTCCCAGATCAGCAGTTAACTACACATAAACGGCAGTAATCTCCCATTAAAGCAATGTTATTGTAAAAATGATAATTAAACCATATTAACAAAAAAAAAACAGTAAGCAAAACATATCGTGCACACGGTTATCTCTTCAAAGAATAATTCAAAGGAAAGCAGTGACCGCTGCTGCTTACAAAAGAATATGTGTATTTTTTTTAAATCTTGAGCTCTTGAAAGCAGCAGGACTGTGGGTGCACGATCATCGCTCTGTGTCCAGTCTACAGCTGCGTCCCAAATGGCACACTATACACTATGCACTCATGCACTATGTACTTATGCACTTACACACTCAACAGGATAGTATATGTATGTAGTGTCGTCCCAAATGGCACACTAATGTTTTTTTACTAAGTGGAAATTCAAACCGTTTCCCTGATGACGTTTGACGGTTGCCAAATCAGTGAAATAAACGACCGAATTATCAGATAATACCTGCCGTGGGTATTGCCGCATTCACCATCGAATGGCGCTAAAATCACTCTCGTAGGAGAATTTTGCTTTCACCATCCAAAATAAATAAAGTTATTCAACATGTGCGTCTGACAGCTCCGCCCCTTCTGCTACGTGAGCAAACCTGCGGTCGTTGAGTGCGTGAAGTGTCCGTCATAACACACTTCATTTAGCGGCTGAATGAGTGCATCATCCGGGTAATTAAAGTGCACTTATTATTTTTAGAGTTTTCAGTGTGAACGCACTACTTACACTATTTGTACTACAAAATGGCGTAGAATAGTGCATAAGTATGCGATTTGGGACGCAGCTTATTTCAAAGGGAATCAATCGCACCAGTTGCACTTCCTATAGGCATGGTTAATTTGCGCAAGTAAACGGGAGCGCGCGCACGCTTTTTAACAGTCGCGCGCATCACATCAGCTGTTAGCGCGAGTGATCATGCTCTCATTCTGTATTCACCATTTTGCTTGCGCGAAGACAGTTATTTTTGTCAGTCGTGTTGCTTCTCGATTCTAAGATCACATTTGCACGAATATTGGGCCGTGCTTATTGTCGAACCTTGCTTTTAGAAAAACTACAATTTAAAAATGATTTCCAACAAGCCAAAGTGGCTGGTGTATGTGTTTGTCTAACCCAGGGGTTCCCAAACTTTTCAGCCCGCGACTCCCAAAATAACAATGCCAGTGATCGCGACCCCCAATATCCTCTGAGGTGGTTATAAATACAGAATCCTTGCATGCAATGACGCAGACACACCAATTAAATTTGTGTCAGTGCTTTAAATGTGCCAGAAAGTATAACCTGATGTTATAAAATTAAAATGCATCTGACGCTATTACTGCCTTTAATATAATGCAATTACCCCAGGGGTCGCAATCCAATAGAACTAGTAACTAAAAGCTACTATAGTAACTATATAGTAACTATAAACGACTATTTTTATTTTAGTATAGTTATGGATAAAATATGTTAATTCGGTTTAATAAAAATAAATAGATTTTTGGAAATCACCAGGCGACCCCCCTTCATTGCCCTGCGACCCCTCGCGGTGTCCCGACCCCCACTTTGAGAACCACTGGTCTAACCCACCAGAGCTGAAATCTACCCGCATTTGGCGGGTGTTATTGTAAAGCCCTGTTGACTGTATATTAAAATGCAATTTATTCCTGTGAGGCAAAGCTGAATTTTTACCATCATCACTGCTCAAGATCCAAATTCATTTTTAAAAGGGCAACTTCAGAATCAAAGTAAGACATAACAGGGCTCGAAATTGCGACCATTTTCGTCGCATATGCGCCCGAAAATTAATCTATGCGACCTCATAATATATATGGGCGCATTAGTGCGACTGCAGATAATGGTTGTAGCGCGACCTGTTTTGATTTTTTGTAAAAACGTGCTGAATCGCTCTTCCCTGCCTCTATATTGGTTCATATTAGCTGTTATTCACTCAAGGTATTCCGCTGTCAGATGACAGGGAAGGAGCTTTTATGAACATGGGAAATGCAAACGGCTGAAGAGTAAAAACTTAAAGCGCACAGGTTTGCAAACCCCACCTAAAGTTGAGGCGCAGATAAAAGTGATCATGACACGTCACATGGTGAATAATGATCCACCAGCTGAGATCAATCGAGTATGCGCTTCTTGGAGAAGGCGCCCGAATATCCATGCGTTGCATTCACTGCGTGTTCAGTGCAAATGTCCACTAAAAGTCAAATCTAATACTGTACATATCATCGCCAAAGAAGCTCGCCTTTACTAAGTTTACTCTGAAACTGCGGCTCATAACAAAGACCGGTATTGCGCCGATGGTTAGCGCAAGAATCCTGCTCTGCCTGCTCATAAATTGGGTCGGCTGACTCGCCTGCTTTTCCACTAACACAGAAAAATGAAGATCATCTCAGACTGAACCTTTAAATTGACAAAAACTGAAACCAAAACTTTTAAAGAGTGATAGAAGTGAGACTTTACTTACTTTCTTTTGTCTATTCTTTTTTGAGGTGTATGTTATTTTTATATTTATTTACTGATGACTGCTTTGCAGCTTTCATCATTGAATTGAATGATTTATTATAATCTTTTGTTTGTTTTGTAGCAGAAATATTAGTTATTAAATTGACGTGCATATAAAAACAGCAGCACAAAATAAATATTTCTTACTGCAATGCTTCATTTTTGTTTGATGCAAACTATACAATTATTTTTCATAAAGTAACAGACTTTTTATAGCAGATAACATACATTCATGCACATTCAAGGCAGTATCATAATGAGAAATGGAATTCATTGTTACTATTATTGTCATTTTTATTCTAATTATTAGACATTCATTTTGGAATTATTGCACACAAATATCAATGTCTTCGCAGCATTAGTTAGATGGTTGTTTCTGTTTTTTGTCAGTCCTATTAATGTTGTTTTAAAATACAATAAATCCCTTAAAAAACAATTTGCAGCGGTGCTCATTCTTTTTTGGTGGGTGCTCCTAAATTTTTTCTGGTGCTCCTAAAATTTTTTTGGTGCTCCGAAATATTTGAAGTTGGGAGCACCGGTGCTACCAAGTAAAAAAGTTAATTTCGAGCCCTGCATAAAGATAAAAAACAAACTGAAATCAAACCTTTCCATCAGGTACAGCTAATTCCAAATTCCTGTGGTGAAAACTGCCGATGAAACTTTGGTTCACAAACACCTAGTGATGAAACAAATCCTGTTTAAGATGGAATTAGAGCAGATGCAGATTCATGTAAAACAGCACAGCTTGATTTTTTTTAATCAGCAGAAACACTAACCAGAGCTCTGTCTTGGACGTTTCCTCCTGATTTTAAAGAGCCTCCTCGGGTGATGCTGGTCTCATAAAGCGTGTATCCGTACGCCTGACCGTTTCCGTTGTTGACCGGCAGACTCTCCATATTAACAGGGAACTGAGCTCTAAAAGGCTTGAGAGGAATCCCACCGTTATGGATGTGACGTTTGCAAGAAAATCTCAAAACATAAATTTAAAGAAAAAGTATGCACTCACCGGCCACTTTATTAGGTACACCTGTCCAACTGCTCATTAACGCAAGTTTCTAATCAGCCAATCACATGGCAGCAACTCAATGCATTTAGGGTTGTAGACAAGGTCAAGACGATCTGCTGCAGTTCAAACTGAGCATTAGAATGAGGAAGAAAGGGGATTTAAGTGACTTTGAATGTGGCATGGTTGCCAGACAGGTTGGTCTTAGTATTTCAGAATCTGCTAATCCACTGGGATTTTCACACAACCATCTCTAAGATTTACAGAGAATGGTCCGAAAAAAAAGAGAAAATATCCAGTGAGCAGCAGTTTTGTGGGCGCCAGAGTTCAGAGGAGAATGGCCAGACTGGTTCCAGCAGATAGAAAGGCAACAGTAACCCAAATAAGCACTCGTTACAACCGAGATATGCAGAAAAGCATCTCTTAATGTACAACACGTCCAACCTTGTGGCAGATGGGCTACAGCAGCAGAAGACTACACCAGGTGCCTCTGCTGACAGCTAAGAACAGGAAACCGAGACTACAATTTGCACAGGTGCACCAAAATTGCTGACCATGTCCATTCCTTTATGACCACAGTGTACGCATCTTCTGATGGCTACTTTCAGCAGGATAATGTGCTAATTATCTCAGACTGATTTCTTGAACATGACAATGAGTTCACCGTACTCAAATGGCCTCCACAGTCACCAGATCACAATCCAATAGAGCACCTTTGGGATGTGGTGGAACGGGAGACTCTCGTCATGCAAGCCGACTAATCTGCAGCAATTGTGTGGTGCTATCATGTCAATATGGAGCAAAATCTCTAAGGAATATTTCAAGTACCTTGTTGAATCTATGCCACAAAGGATTAAGGCAGTTCTGAAGGTAAAAAGGGGGCCCAACCTGGTACTAGTAAGGTGTACCTAATAAAGTGGCCGGTGAGTGTATGTGAACAATTTTTTAAAACATCTGTTTATATTTTCCAAAATGGAAAATATAAACAGTTATTGGAGTTATGGGATCAGAAAATTATCAATCTGTAAACATATTTTAGATGTTAAATGAGGGAAATAAACGGGATGTGACCAAAAAAAAAGTATGCGAGTTTACAGTCTACAACAGGGGTGGGCAAACTCGGTCCTGGAGGGCCGGTGTCCTGCTCAGTTTAGCTCCAACACTAATCAAACACATCTGAACATGCTAATCAGTGTCTTCAAGATCACTAGAAATCTATGAGCAGGTGTGTTTGATTAGAGTTGGAACTAAACTGTGCAGGACACCGGCCCTCCAGGACCGAGTTTGCCCACCTCTGGTCTACAACATAAATAATTAAACTGCTCAAACCAAAAGTATGCTAATCAAAAGGATAAGAGTTAGCTCTCTACAGAGCAAACATGATTGAGTCTATTTTATTTTGCATTTATGAGGGAAAAGCTTGGTTATGAATGTGACGTCTCTCCATTATGGATGTGACTGATGTGAAATTGGCACTTGTGTGACTTTAGTGAATCAAATATAATTGTTTGAAAACACTGACAGAGGCATTTTGAGAGTATTTTACAGTACTTTAAAATACAAGCAAACACAAAAAATGTCGCTATTTTGGTGAAAACTATTTTTTTCATGGCAAGGTTTGACATTTGTATGGAATTGCTTTTGAGATGGAGAAAAAAGTTGGATTTTTACATTTATTTCTAAGAGTTAGTGCTATTACAAGGTAAAGTAGACATCAGACCTCATGTGTGAATGGCAAAGCATCCCATAGTGAAAGATGCTGGAATAATATAGCAGCCTCATATTGTTCTTTCCAGCGCAGACCAGGCATCTCAGGGAGGATTTCTTCTGAAGAGCAACACAGAAATCAACACGCTCAGTGCATGTAGAGTATTAAAGGGTTATTCATTCATTCATTTTCCTTCGACTCAGTCCCTTTATTTATCAGGGACACCTCTATTTCAGATGTTGCCACAGTGGAATGAACCACCAACTATTCCGGCATATGTTTTACGCAGCAAATGCCCTTCCATACTGGGAAATCCCCATACACTCGCGCATTTACTCTCAGAATCAGCATCAGTTTTATGAAGTGTGCTTCACACACACAAGGAATTTGTTTTGGCAGAAGCTTCCAGTGTACACGCCCCTCTCGCACACACTCATACACTACGGCCAGTTTAGTTAATCCAATTCACCTATAGCGCATGTCTTTGGACTGTGGGGGAAACCGGAGCACCCAGAGGAAACCCTTACCAACACGAGGAGAACATGCAAACTCCACACAGATATGCCAACTGGCCTGGTCGAACGAGCGACCTTCTTGCCGTGAGGTGACAGTGCTAACCACTGAGCCACCGTGCTGCCTGTTAAAGCTAATGTTCCCCCAAAAATGTTCATTTACTTATTATTTACTAACTCTCAAGTGGTTATAAACCTTTATGAGTTTTTTGGGTTTATTGTGGTGTTCAGGCCTCCCCTGGCCCACTCTGGGTTCACAACATCGCACTGCTGAACAGAATTATTTTGTCTTGAAACTCAAAAAGGTTTCCTTCAACTTTCAAGTAGCGCTGTATTATTATTCAGTTGCAAGATGGTGCTGAAAATAGTAATAAAATAATATCAAAGTACACCCCTGCTGAAAAATCCAGCTTAAACCAGCCTAGGCTGGTTGGCTGGTTTTAGCTGGTCAACCAGGCTGGTTTTAGAGGGGTTTTGGCCACTTCCAGGCTGGTTTCCAGCCATTTCCAGCCTGGTCTTAGCTGGTTAGGCTGGGAGATGACCAGCTAAAACCAGCTTGACCAGCCTAGCCAGGCTGGGAGCCCAGCCAAAACCAGCTATGTCCAGCTTAAACCAGGCTGGTCAAGCTGGTTTTAGCTGGATTTAGCTGGTCATTTTCCAGCCTGACCAGCTAAGACCAGTCTGGAAATGGCTGGAAACCAGCCTGGAAGTGGCCAAAACCCCTCTAAAACCAGCCTGGTCAACCAGCTAAAACCAGCCAACCAGCTTTGGCTGGTTTAAGCTGGATTTTTTAGCAGGCACATCAAATCCAAACTAACAATATTGATTTTGTTAGCTTAAGTTGCTAGTTTTATGGTGAACAGTTCATCTGTGCATTTCATTAAGAAAACACCAATAGTTTGCTCCTGTAATCTTTAATTGAAATCTAAAAATGCACTTCCTGTTGGTTTTCAGTTCAATTCTCAGATTACATCTGTCTGTGGCAATGGGCGTGGCTAACATACTTAACCACGCCCTCCAGCTGTCAGTTTTGATAACTAACAGAAATGATGAGGAGGGGGATTCTGGTTGTAAAAACTCTACCCTTTTCCCGATCAGTTGCGTCGCTTCACGCCCATTTATGAATTCTCTCGCGGTGCATCATGGGATAGAGTAGCGTCCATTCAACGCGCACTTCAGAATCTCGCCAGAAGTAGTAGGTCATCCGAGTATTTCTCGTATACTGTTTTTTGAATTCTATGAAATCAGACAAACTACTCGGCTCACATACTGACTTTACTGTATTATATAGTATGGAAGTATGCGATTTTGTCACAGCCTAGGTTTGTTTGAGGTATTGGGTGGGGCTAAAATACTAAACCACGCCCCTCCAATTGTCTTTTTGCAGCAAACAGAAATGGTGAGGAGGAGGAGGAGTCTGTCAGGTTGTAATAACTCTCCCCAAACCCTTTTCCCAATCTTTCTGAATGAAATGTCTACTTTACAACATCCAATCAGCTTGCAATATAGAAAAAACAAGCCACACCCACTGTTTTCTCATCTACTACTCAGTAGGTACTGCATTTGAATGCAAACGTACTACTCGGCCGCTAGAAAAGTGCGTTTTATACAGTATGAATGTCTGTAGTTTGAATGTAACTGGAACTACATCTGCCATTTTGTCATCATCACGTGACCTACCCACGTGAGTTGCGTCGCTGCGTTGAATGTAAATGTACTACTCCGCCGTTAGAAAAGTACATTCTATAGAGTATGAATGTCTGTTGTATGAATGAAACAAGGACAAACTACATCCCCCATTTTGCCATAATGACATGACCTACCAACAACAGTTGCGTCGCCTCACTCACATACATGAATTCTCTCACGGGGCATCATGGGATAGCGTAGCGTCCATCCGATGCACACTTCAGAGTATTGCCAGAAGTAGTAGGTCATCCGAGTACTTCTCACATACTGTTTTTCGATTTTCTATGAAATCAGACAAACTAGTCGGCTCACATACTGACTTTACTGTACTATATAGTATGGAAGTATGCGATTTCGAACACAACCTTAGTATTTTGTTTCTCTAGGAACTGCTTCACAATACGAAAAAAAAAAAAAAACGTCGCAGCTTCAGGTTCATGTGGACAAAAAAAACAGATTGCATTCTACTGAGGGAGGACCTTCATATACATACTGTATTTAGGATGCCTCAAAGGTGAGTCATTTTAATTTTTTTTGGTGAACTAATGCTTTTACAGAGCGAGAGAAAAGGAAAAGATCACCAACTGTTGAAATTGCTGAAGAGATCTCTGAGAAGATGGTACTTCGGTGTATAATCTCCTGCTTCTGACAGAGGAGCATCGTAATCTAAAAGAAACAAACACAGAAAGAAAGTATTTGTGTAGATACTTAGGATGAGGCTATGTTGTGCTGCTTATATATATATATATATATATATATATATATATATATATATATATATATATATATATATATATATATATATATATATATATATATATATATATATATATATATATATATATATATATATATATATATATATATATATATATATATATATATATATATATATATATATATATATATATATATATATATATATATATAT